ATGTTTTAACTTACTGTAGCAAATTATTGTGAAGCACAGGCAAGACTTCAGGGTTGGGGTAGATTCAGCTTTAAGTTCAGGAAATGAACTGTAAGTTGCGCAGGAATTTTCAATTCAACTGAATTGACCACAACACTACATTACGGAAAATGTCCAAACATCTTGACAGCTGTTCACCCAATAAGTGTCAAGGTGACCGCTTTGTTGTCATTTGAATCCCAGATTGCCCCTAGTGTTGTTCTGTATTCAATGTCTTTGTTCGCATGACCCTTAATCAAAACAACTGTTATTATAGGGTTATCATAGGGTTATCCAAGGGACTTAAAAAAAGTATGTGCTACATTATGGTGATATTGTTTACATGCAAGTCTCAGCCAGCACATTTAAGATACTGGACACTGTGTATCACAGGGCGCTTAGATTTATAACGAATGCAAGACCACTCACCCATCACTGTGATCTATATGACATGGTGAAGTGGCCCTCCCTTCCTACACGAATGCTGAAGCACTGGTACATCTTTGTGTACAAAGCAGTGCTTGGACTATTGCTTACTTACCTGTCCTCCTCACTAATAAGGTAATCACTAATTGATTTTTAAAAAATGGTTTGATAAAATAAAAAATAAAAAAGGTATAATCTTCGTAAATTATATCATCGGTAGGACTGGTGGAGTTATGTAGCACATGCAACTAACAAAAACATATGGAAATGTCTGCTCTACACAAAATTACAACCAAATAATTGCAGCATTACCGCAAAAATGGAAGAGGAAAGTGGAAGGGGGAAAAAGTAAGGAACTTGTCTGTCGGCCTTGCATTAAAAAACATAATTGGTTAAAGAAAACTTTGATAAATAAAAAAGTGTACCAGTTTCATTTAAGGACCAAAGGATTGACAGCCGTCCCATATAGATTGCAAAATAGTTGGGAAGAGATTTTTTACGTACCGATTCCATGGCATAGTGTTTATGAACTGATACGCAAAACGACGTCGGATTCAAAACTTCAAAATGTTCAATTTAAATTACTATATAAAATTCTTGCTACCAATAGAATGTTATTTATATGGGGGATACAATCTTCCCAGCTATGCAGCTTTTGCTGCGAAGAGACCAAATCATTAGATCATTTGTTTTGGTACTGTCCATTTGTAGCTTGTTTTTGGAATGGAATGGCTAAAGGACTGCAATATTTACCTGGAGTTAACCCTGCAGATAGCATTACTGGGTGATCTGAAAAGTCATAGTCAATCGATCAATAATATAATAATACTTTTAGCAAAAAAAAAATATTTTCAATTTACAATCTGTAGACACAATGTGAATAGAAAGGTTCAGAACTTTTGTAAAATATCACAGTACAGTTGAAAAATATATGGCAAATCCAATATGGATGGTGTTAAGAGATAGATGGGTGGTGTTGAATGGAGTTGAAGGATGGGACTAATAACAACTAACAACAACTAATAACAACAAGATAACTAATAATGTAAGCATACTGTGTCCATAATAATTATATAGGTTGAGAGCTTTTGTGAAAGAGCACAGGTAGAAAGATATGGCATATAGAAGCAAACTGGATGGACATCATGAAAATGATCGGAGAGGTTGAGGGTAGAGGAAGTTCAGGAGTAAAAACAAACAAAATATAATTATTGTAAAATTGACTGTGTCCATAAAATTTATATAGTATGTATAAGCTGGAAGTAGAGGCCTACGCATTGTTGTTCACTAGTTTACTCCAATTAGGGAAGGGGTAGTGGGGTTGGAAAGTAATAAAGGTAAAACAAATTTTTAAAGGACATGTGTATGTGTATTTGTATGGTTATGTACAGTGGGGAAAAAAAGTATTTAGTCAGCCACCAATTGTGCAAGTTCTCCCACTTAAAAAGATGAGAGAGGCCTGTAATTTTCATCATAGGTACACGTCAACTATGACAGACAAAATGAGATTTTTTTTCTCCAGAAAATCACTATTGAAGGATTTTTTATGAATTTATTTGCAAATTATGGTGGAAAATAAGTATTTGGTCAATAACAAAAGTTTCTCAATACTTTGTTATATACCCTTTGTTTGCAATGACACAGGTCAAACGTTTTCTGTAAGTCTTCACAAGGTTTTCACATACTGTTGCTGGTATTTTGGCCCATTCCTCCATGCAGATCTCCTCTAGAGCAGTGATGTTTTGGGGCTGTCGCTGGGCAACACGGACTTTCAACTACCTCCAAAGATTTTCTATGGGGTTGAGATCTGGAGACTGGCTAGGCCACTCCAGGACCTTGAAATGCTTCTTACGAAGCCACTCCTTCGTTGCCCGGGCGGTGTGTTTGGGATCATTGTCATGCTGAAAGACCCTGCCACGTTTCATATTCAATGCCCTTGCTGATGGAAGGAGGTTTTCACTCAGAATCTCACGATACATGGCCCCATTCATTCTTTCCTTTACACGGATCAGTCGTCCTGGCCCCTTTCCAGAAAAACAGCCCCAAAGCATGATGTTTCCACCCCCATGCTTCACAGTAGGTATGGTGTTCTTTGGATGCAACTCAGCATTCTTTGTCCTCCAAACACGACGAGTTGAGTTTTTACCAAAAAGTTCTATTTTGGTTTCATCTGACCATATGACATTCTCCCAATCCTCTTCTGGATCATCCAAATACACTCTAGCAAACTTCAGACGGGCCTGGACATGTACTGGCTTAAGCAGGGGGACACGTCTGGCACTGCAGGATTTGAGTCCCTGGCGGCGTAGTGTGTTACTGATGGTAGGCTTTGTTACTTTGGTCCCAGCTCTCTGCAGGTCATTCACTAGGTCCCCCCGTGTGGTTCTGGGATTTTTGCTCACCGTTCTTGTGATCATTTTGACCCCACGGGGTGAGATCTTGCGTGGAGCCCCAGATCGAGGGAGATTATCAGTGGTCTTGTATGTCTTCCATTTCCTAATAATTGCTCCCACAGTTGATTTCTTCAAACCAAGCTGCTTACCTATAGCAGATTCAGTCTTCCCAGCCTGGTGCAGGTCTATAATTTTGTTTCTGGTGTCCTTTGACAGCTCTTTGGTCTTGGCCATAGTGGAGTTTGGAGTGTGACTGTTTGAGGTTGTGGACAGGTGTCTTTTATACTGATAACAAGTTCAAACAGGTGCCATTAATACAGGTAACGAGTGGAGGACAGAGGAGCCTCTTAAAGAAGAAGTTACAGGTCTGTGAGAGACAGAAATCTTGCTTGTTTGTAGGTGACCAGATACTTATTTTCCACCATAATTTGCAAATAAATTCATTAAAAATCCTACAATGTGATTTTCTGGATTTTTTTTTTCTCATTTTGTTTGTCATAGTTGACGTGTACCTATGATGAAAATTACAGGCCTCTCTCATCTTTTTAAGTGGGAGAACTTGCACAATTGGTGGCTGACTAAATACTTTTTCCCCCCACTGTATGTGTATATATATATATTTGCGAGAGAAAAAAAAACATATGGGGGATTGGAAGTGATGCAGACAATTACATTGATGGAAGTTACAATCTATCTGCAATATTAAAGCTGATCTACCCCCTAAAAAATTAAGAAAATAAAAATAAGGTAATCACAAAGTTATAGTGTCCGTTCTCAGCTGCTGCAATCTTTCACAGTTCCTAAGGCCAGGACTGAAATGGGAAAAATAAATCAAATGTTCATATAATGCTCCTTGGTCTTGGTACGAGCTGCAAAATACTTTAAACTGAAGGAGAGGGTATTGCTTGCTGAGTTTAAAGCTCTGATAGAGGAAAATGTTGTTGACCGTTGTGATTGTTTTTAATGTATTGTATTGTGCTCTTGTGTTGTATTTACACGCTGACTACTTCCTGTTGAACTCTTGCCAGGTCCCCCTCGAAAAAGAGATTTCTAACCTCAAGGGTCTTTTCCTGGTTAAATAAAGGTTAATAAAAAAAATAGGGTTATCATTACATTAGATAGGCTATAGGCTTCATCCCCATGTCGCGTTTGAAAATCACTGTGATTGGTTTAGGAATAGTTTACAATTCTTGTCCCAGGGCCTCCGATTTGGGATTATTATTGAGCAGGGAGGTCTGGACGCTTTTGAGGTGTCGCTGGAAAAGAAAGGAAAATGATGACAGTATTTACAGCCATTGATTTTGGTCTCATCCCATGTTTAAATTGAGCAAGGCGTGAAAGGAATTTAATGAAAATGAATTATGGTTGCAAATGAGTAATGTCTCTCACTGATTACATCCCACATCTATTATATTCAGTGTTGTTTGGAGCGACAAGCACAGGGCCTTGTGTCGTTTGTTTTAATTTGGAATTTGCCACAAATTTGCCTTGTCTTGGGTTGTGATTGCAATTTGATCATGATGAAAGTGTGTGATTATGCTATCTGACTGTATGGATCACATGCATAATGAACCAGAACTGGGCAACCTTCAAGGAAACACGAGAGTTGGGCAACAGGGCATGCTGTGTTTGTGGCACTAGGGCTTGTGCAGTCTAATAAAAGGATAGTTGTGAACATGATCATACACAGTAGGACCTACGAGATATGAAAATGTTCGGAATGAAAGTCGTTCTTTAGGTGTCCCTAACTTTCAAATTCAATTGAAAACCGCTTAAAACATTGATAGAGAATGTTTATTGCGCATTTGTGTTTTCTAATAATTTAGCCAAATACTATACATATATGATGTGTTTGTGGCACATGTAAGCTACATTTGCATTTAATACATGTCCCGGATTGACCTGTCAGTCTGTAACTCTGAGGATTGTATATTTTCTTCATATTTAAGGTGTTCTGTGTCTGGTAACCTGTTCCAGTTTGCCTGTGCTTTTGTGTGCTTACAATATGTAGGCCACACTTGTGAATGTTTTACTTTATGTAATATTTCCAGGCATGATGATGAGCTCACTCATACACGTAGAAGGCTCATTCTGTACAGGCTAGTGGACTTTCCCTACAGTTCTCTTGACAACTTATCCATTTAATGCTCTTGCTTTTCCAGGTGGAAGCTGAATGACTCCTTCATTGTACCTAGATCAGGGTCACGCTATGCCCTCACCGGGGGCAACCTACGAATCAGCCATCTGAATAAAGAGGAGGACGTCGGGATCTACCAGTGTCTGGCAACCAACTCTTTCGGCACCATCGTCAGCAGAGAAGCTAGTCTACATATAGCTTGTGAGTTTTCCTCTTAATACAGTAAAGGTTTAAATGGAATATTTCTCAGTCCAAGGAAAAAGGCAGTGGATTCTATCACAAAGCATCAGTCATTAGCAAACCATGATTATGTCACTCAGTTGATCCTTTAATCCAGCTTAAGCAGTGGCTTGGGACATCTGTGTCATAGGAGATGCAACTAGGGCTGTGGCGGTCATGAAATTGTGTCAGCCGGTGACTGTCATGCAAATAACTGCCGGTTTTACGGTAAATTACCGTTAATTAACATAAGTAAGTTTAGCATCTCCGGGCTTTCAGGCATAGCCTACAAGCCACTGATGCGGACCTTTGGAACATATTCATTTAAAAAATGTGAATAAATCCATTTAATATAGCCTACACCTTCACAATAAATCCATTATTTATTTTAGGCAGGTCTGAAGAAACGTGATATGAAGAAAATGTAGCCTATTTCAGAAGAAGAGAAAAGCATATTCTGAGTCATCCTTATGTTAAGCCGTGATCTGGCTGTGCCGTATGGCTGTGGGCTACACTAGTTCATTTAGCAGACAAGATTTGCTTATAATTCCTGTGGCATTATTTTATATTATTTTATAGTAAGAAGAATACAATTCCACATAGCTGAATAAAATAGAAAGGCTATTTTCCCCAAATTATTTCCAAGGGAGTGCGCACATGCGGCTATTCTGTGTTGAGCGGTTAACAAAGTGTTAATTTGAAACAGGTCGTCCTATATGCTTAATTTACAGTTATTTATGCAACGTTAGTTGTGATACAAACCTTAGGCTATATGTTTTGATTTCTAATACATTCTAAGGCTGCATGATGTGACTCTAGTGATGATCTTTTTTAAAGTCGCATGAAAGGCATGAGCTCTGCTCTGTTTCTTGCGCTGGCTGCACACACTTCATCTGTCTCTCATTCACAATTTGACAAGCACTTAATAATATTCTCATAGCCTACTAATATATGTGTGGAATTTTTATTTATTTAGAATGGCCCACAAAAACAACATGTCATCCATAGCCTGCACTCTAATAGCGAATGGAGGTTACATGCGGTTACGTTTTTAATATGCCAGGTAAGCTACATTGGTTGTAAAACGGATGAATGTGTTTAATTTTAAGAATTTAGTAATAAATATAGCAGCACGAGAAATCTGGGATCCTTTTTTAAATAGTGTCTAGTCAAAACTCTGTTTTCACACGCGATTGCACAATGACTGGGCTTATAAGAACACATGTTTCACAAGGCTCCGTAGGCTATGGGCTCTCCAACCATGTTCCAGGGGTCCTAGGCTATAGGCTACACTTAGAGTTATTTGGCCACTTTAGTTGTGATACAAACCTTATCAAAACATATAGGCCTATGGGCTACATGATGCATGTTACTATGATTTGTTTCTTGCCTTAGACTGCACACGCTGGGCATCATTCACAAGTGATAATATTCTCACCCATCAGACTATTCTCAATTTAATCTTGTCTTTACATATACTAAATAATATATGTGTGACATTTGTTTTGATTTAGAATGGGCCATTATCATGCACATGTCAGAACAGGGGCAGGGGGAAAAAATACATGTCATTCGTATGCACTTGAATAGCGAATGGAGGAAGCTTTTCCCGCAGTTCATTTTCATGCCAGTCAGTTAGGCTACTCCGGTTGTAAAGCGAAGCAATGTGCTCAATATTAGGAAAGTTGCTAAATAAATATAGTCTATAGAAAACTGATCCTCCTCTTTTTAATGGAGGCCATCAAACCTCTGTTTTCTCACGCAATTGCATAGCATAGCCTGTAGAAATATAGGGCAACATGGGCTTATAGGAACACTTATTAAATGACATGTATCAACCAGCTATAAGGAGCTGGCTCTTGCTGTGCAACAGGTTATCCTATTCCGCTCAAACTCTGAATGCCTGGGCAATCATGAAGTGTTTGTTTTGATTTTCGATTGCATTTGCATTGATGTCAGAGTAATTAGAGGAACAATAGAGCACTGAGTACCAGGCCATTGGCGACTGGTTAGCAAGTTTGGTAGTCTACTAATGACCATCAGCGGCATCAGAGCGCAGTTTTGGAGAAGCCGAGTTACTGTGACTCAATGGTCACGTGGAATTTGACTGCGGTCATGACTCATGACTGCCGGTGTGGAGGTAATACGGTCATCGTAACAGCCCTAAATGCAACAGCTCTACCAAAGAGTAGGTCTGGGATCAAGAGGGTGTGATTGTCGGGGGCCTTGACAGAAGCTATATAACTGATCTTTTACAGTCTTCATCTATCACATTTTATAAGACTCAAGTCTTCAGAATCTCTGATGGCAAGGTAAACTCAGGGCCTCGGCTCTGATGGGCATACCATCTAAAATGACAGCGTGGACCTCTGAGAACAGATGGTGCATCCAGATTGAATTCTGACGTCTGTTTCCTGCTAGCAGACCTAGGGATGATCCTTGTGAGAGCACCCTAGGTATTTAGCTGGCTTCTAATGGGTGCATTTGAGTCACGAGTCCCCACAAAGCAGTATATCACATTCAAATGGATCCCACTGCTGACACCAAATGTCTACACCAGGCAGTGTATCATATTCATATTTCCTACCAATTTTCGAGGTCTGACATGCACTGTATGTCATTGTGATTGGTCTTATCCATTGCCTGGCTCTGACCTGGGACCTGTGGCTTTTGTCAACTGACAAGGACAAGTATCTGCTGTGATGTGTCATCCATCTTATTTATTGCTCTTGGTATAACTTAATTAATCCTGCGGAATGATTCAACGGTGCCGGGTCAGGGGAATAATTAATTCGGGAGAAGCCTTTTTGAAAGTCTGTATCATGTCATTTGTAAGAGACTTGGACAAGACCAGAAGTGCCTGGAGTGCTTTTTTGGCCCTCTCAGTGCTCAAAAGGCTTTGAGGCTTTGTTTTTTTATTATTTAATGTTTATAAAATAGGATGTAATGTCACAAAGATGTAACATATACTGAACAAAAATATAAACGCAACATGCAACAATTTCAAAGATTTCACTGAGTTCATATACAGTTCATATAAAGATATCAGTCAATTTAAATAAATAAATTAAGCCCTAATCTACACTCTTACAAAAGGGTTCCAAAAGTGTTCTTTGGCTATCCCCATAGGTGAACCCTTTTTGGTTCCAGGTAGAACTATTTTGGGTTCCATGTAGAACCCTCTGTGTAAAGGGTTCTACCTGGAACCAAAATGGTTCTACTGGGAACCAAAACGTTTTCTTCAAAGGGTTCTCCTATGGGGACAGCCGAAGAACCCTTTTAAGTTCTAGATAGCACCTTTTTTCTAAGAGTGTATGGATTTCACATGCCTGGGAATAAAAAGGTAGGCGTGTGGATTAGAAAACCAGTCGGTATCTGGTGTGACCACCATTTGCTTCATGCAGCGCGACACATCTCCTTCGCGTAGAGTTGATCAGGCTGTTAATTTTGGCCTGTGGAATGTTGTCCCACTCCTCTTCAATGGCTGTGCGAAGTTGCTGGATGTTGCCGGGAACTGGAACACGCTGTCGTACACGTCGATCCAGAGCATCCCAAACATGCTCAATGGGTGGTGACATGTCTGGTGAGTATGCAGGCCATGGAAGAACTGGGACATTTTCAGTTTCCAGGAATTGTGTACAGATCCTTGCGACATGAGCGCATTATCATGCTGAAACATGAGGTGATGGCGGCAGATGAATGGCACGACAATCTGTGACCAACAGATGCATATCTGTATTCCCAGTCATGTCAAATCCATAGATTAGGGCCTAATGAATTTATTTCAATTGACTGATTTCCATATATGAACTGTAACTCAGTAAAATCTTTGAAATTGTTGCATGTTGTGTTTATATTTTTGTTCAGTATAATACAATTGCTCAGAGAAAGAGATTTTGTTTAACAAGTAATACTTTTTCTCAATATTTGAATGATTTATCTTATACAGTCATTTTTGCTCATCTTTAACAAAGGTGTCAATCATTTTGGAACCCACTGTAGATGTTGCACATGATGCAGTTGGACCATGAAAAGCATTGGTTTAAAATATTAATTTGCAGGCACATAAGCTCTTGAAGTTGGTCTTTTAATTGGTATTTTGCTTGCTCAGCGTTACCAAGATTACATTTTTAAATGTGTTCCCTATCTAGTAAGATATCCATGTATAATATATAATATATAGGGTGGCAGGTAGCCTAGGCATTAGAGCGTTGGGCCAGTAACCGAAAGGTTACTAGTTCTACATCCATAGCCGACAAGGTGAAAAATCTGTTAATGTGCCCTTAAGCAAGGCACTTAACCCTAATTGCTCCAGGGCTGCTGGACAATGGTGACCCTGGCCATGACCCCACTCTCTGAGTGTGTCTTAGGGGAGTTGGGATATGCAAACACATTTCCAATTCACACTATGTGTATTAATACACACTTGTACATGTGTGAAATAGGACAAATATATATATTATTATAAAAATATAGGCACAAAGAGTGAATGTGTTACGGATGCATGGCAGCCCTTCATCCACCACTATCCTGTGGGCTGAGCCATGTAGGCTGTGGACTATCTTTCACCATCTAATATGAGCTTAAAATGTCAAAACTTTTAAAGGTTGATGATTCCACTGACAATACTGTGGTGAAATTTTTTTAAAGCCTCTGCTCGTCTGTTGTGTCCACTGGAATAATCTCACTCGTTATAGGGGCAGATTTAATTCTGTAATCTCTTTGGGATTTTTATAATTGAAAGGCTCTTGACTCTGCTGTGGTAAGATATAACATTACGCTACAGATTGTAACTGCCATATTACAGGAATATCCTTTTAATATGTACCCAAGATGCAATGTTGTTTTCAGATCATCGCTAGGGTTTAGCTCTGTGCTTAATTATTGAATGGTGAAATAACTGTATTTAAGAAACTGCACAGGATGCAATTATCTTGTATCTTAGGTGCTTCAGATTTCATATCACTTCTTTAGTTCTGCCTCACAATTGCACATAATTAGCATATTTGTTTTCCAGTGTCTGTCTGACATTACAATCCTATCTATTTCACAAGTAGATCTGATTTCTATCTCTTGTTTTTAACAAACACCTTCCTTCATTTCTATCAAGTCCCTTTTATAACTTCCACACATTCGCCTCAGGTGAAAATTACATCCTTATTTGGTTTTATAGCAATCAGAGAGTGGGGACATGAACAGCACTCACAGTCTTGGCCTGTTCAAAATATATCAGGGCTCTAGCTACCTGCATTTCAAACATATATATATTTTTTAACAGCAATTTATCACACAATGCTAGAGAGCAATTGTAAAGAGTTTCTCACTGAACGTTTTTGATGTCATAGTGTAAATCTCTCAAACTCAACTCTGGACCTCAAAGTCAGTTCCACAGCATTTTTTCTAATCAGAGACTGATTTAGACCTGGGACACCAGGTGGGTGCAATTAATTATCAGGTTGACCAGAAAACCAGCAGGCTCTTGACCTCGTAGGGTAAGAGTTGATTATCCCTGGTGTAAAGTGTCTCAGACTTGTAATATCTCACTGCAAAATTGTGTGTTGCTCACTTTTTGAATGAGCAGAACATAGAGCATTGAGGAGATGGGAACAGTATCATATCATATAAACTATACAAAGCGGTATAACATTTACATTTTAGGGTATGAAAGTGGTTTGAGTGGTACTTTCTACAGTAATATGACTCAATATTAAATAACTGTGAAGGACAAGCCATGGCTGTTGGTTAGTGCTCTCGTTCACATCACAACAAAAAACCTGCTCACATTCTCTTTTGATACAATCTCCTCTAATTCATTGCATTAAGTCACAATGGGGCAAACCAAAATGCTAATTCACATCCAATTTCACGGACCTGAAAGCACTCAAAATAACTTGAATTAGGCCATGAAAAAGCACACAGAAGTATATCTTTGATAGGCTTGACAAAATAATCCAGGGGTTGCAGAACAGTTTGGTTTGTCAGGCACGGCTGGCTTTAGTGTGTCCAGCTCATTTGCGTTTCACACTATGAGAATATTGATCGTTTATTTACTTCAGATGTTGTAATTCACAATGGTGTAGTAATGTTGGTAGGTGCTATTGGGAAATACTGCTCATATACAGTGGCTTGCGAAACTATTCACCCCCCCCCCCCCCCCCCCCCCTTGGCATTTTTCCTATTTTGTTCCCTGAAATTCAAATGGAATTTTTGGGGGTTTGTATAATTTGATTTACACAACATGCCTACCACTTTGAAGATGCACAATATTTTTTGGGGTGAAACAAAGAAGAAATAAGACAACAAAACTGAGAACTTGAGCGTGCATAACTATTCACCCCCCAAAGTCAATACTTTATAGAGCCACCTTTTGCAGCAATTACAGCTGCAAGTCTCTTGGGGTATGTCTCTATACGCTTGGCACATCTAGCCACTGGGATTTTTGCCCATTCTTCAAGGCAAAACTGGTCCAGCTCCTTCAAGTTGGATGGGTTCCGCTGGTGTACAGCAATCTTTAAGTTTCTCAATTGGATTGAGGTCTGGGCTTCGACTAGGCCATTCCAAGACATTTAAATGTTTCCCCTTAAACCACTCAAGTGTTGCTTTAGCAGTATGCTTAGGGTCATTGTCCTGCTGGAAGGTGAACCTCCGTCCCAGTCTCAAATCTCTGGAAGACTGAAACAGGTTTCCCTCAAGAATTTTCCTGTATTTAGCGCCATCCATCATTCCTTCAATTCTGACCAGTTTCCCAGTCCCTGCCGATGAAAAACATCCCCACAGTATGATGCTGCCACCACCATGCTTCACTGTAGGGATGCTGTTCTCGGGGTGATGAGAGGTGTTGGGCTTGCGCCAGACATAGCGTTTTCTTTGATGGCCAAAAAGCTAAATTTTAGTCTCATCTGACCAGAGTACCTTCTTCCATATGTTTGGGGAGTCTCCCACATGCCTTTTGGTGAACACCAAACGTGTTTGCTTATTTTTTTATTTAAGCAATGGCTTTTTTCTGGCCAGTCTTCCGTAAAGCCCAGCTCTGTGGAGTGTACTGCTTAAAGTGGTCCTATGGACAGATACTCCAATCTCCGCTGTGGAGCTTTGCAGCTCCTTCAGGGTTATCTTTGGTCTCTTTTTTGCCTCTCTGATTAATGCCCTCCTTGCCTGGTCCGTGAGTTTTGGTGGGCGGCCCTCTCTTAGCAGGTTTGTTGTGGTGCCATATTCTTTCATTTACATTTTACATTTTAGTCATTTAGCAGACGCTCTTATCCAGAGCGACTTACAGTTAGTGAGTTTTCAATTTTTTAATAATGGATTTAATGGTGCTCCGTACGATGTTCAAAGTTTCAGATGTTTTTTTATAACCCAACCCTGATCTGTACTCCACAACTTTGTTCCTGACCTGTTTGGAGAGCTCCTTGGCCTTCATGGTGCCGCTTGCTTGGTGGTGCCCCTTGCTTAGTGGTGTTGCAGACTGGGGCCTTTCAGAACAGGTGTATATATACTGAGATCATGTGACACTTAGATTGCACACAGGTTGACTTTATTTAACTAATTATGTGACTTCTGAAGGTAATTGGTTGCACCAGATCTTATTTAGGGGCTTCATAGCAAAGGGGCTGAATACATATGCACACACCACTTTTCCGTTATTTATTCTTTTGAATTTCTTTAAAGAAGTAATTTTTTTCATTTTACTTCACCAATTTGGACTATTTTGTGTATGTCAATTACATGAAATCCAAATAAAAATCCATTTAATTTACAGGTTGTAATGCAACAAAATAGGAAAAACGCCAAGGGGGATGAATACTTTTGCAAGGCACTGTACAGTATGCACCTAGTTTCAGTGATTCTTTGTAAAATAAATATTTATTTTAATACTCACTTTGAGAAAGTTATATTTTAAGCGTTAATATTTTTTGTAATTATATACTGTGTTCAGTTAGTTCTTAAACCTTGTTAGTTCTGAATACACAGGACATGTTGTTATAAATCAGGGATAGGGAAAGGGATAGGGAAAGATAACTTTGATGATAGCAATGACTTTCTTTAACAAAGTAATTTCAGTGGCCTCTTAAGATTTGGTTGTTTTTCAAATCCACCTAATCATGCCTCTCAAATGCTGAATACTTGTGCACCTGTTTAAAAATAGAAACACACGTTGTTTTAATTGGACAGCCTAAACAATGTAAATGTCTAAATGTATGTTGACAGGTTAAAGAATATGGGAAATAAGAAAAACAGGCCTTTATAACAAAGTTATCCCATAGCCTTGAGGACATTCATTACTGTACCTGACCTCGCTATACTTTTAATAAATCAGTGGGCTCTGTTATTCCCAATTTACACTGCTTCCTAAAGCAGAACTAATCACCCATGTTATTCAAGACTTAGAATCGATCTAGAAGTGTTTCTCATAAATCTTGCTTAGGTGGGGCACAGATGTCCCTGAAGCATCATCCAGACATGCTGACATAGCCCTCCAATATTATACAGACTTCTCAAATGAATCAGTTAATTGAGGCAGTATTCTCATTAAGTTCATGTAATCATGGGGAATTAGTATTCTTTCTATTTACATTCTCTCTTGATTATGGCACTATAGGTTACATTGGTTTGCTATTTTGCAGTATAGGTTCTTAGAAATCTACAAGAGCAACAACAGCAGAGCAGGTTGTCAACAAGTAATTGGTTGCCATACACATGCTATTTCAATCTCAAAGCCGTTTAATTGTTGCTGGACCGTGTGCAATGAGGAACGCAATGAATGAAACACAGAAAGTGATAACAATACATAGTTTCAATTAAAATCACTCATGTGTGACTTATACTTGAGGAAGGGCTTTCCGCATGCCGGAGGTGCTTGGGATTGAACAGTTCTGTAAGTACACGGGCAGAAATTGTTGTCTCTCAAAGTTGTCCAAAGGTGTCGGATACTGCCATTTAACCCAATAAGGTAGAGGCTCAATATATTACATAGGAGCTAGAATAATAAATTATTATATATTAATATAATAATATAGTAAAATTAGTGTTCCAAAATATTAAATTGTAGTCGTTAGAATAATCAATGACTCACTGTTAAAAGGGAGTATTAGACAAAAATACATGACCTGTGTTTGGGGCTATATCAAATTGTATAATGTCAAGTCACTGCATGGAGTTCCACACTACCGATGATCGATTAACTACTATGTCAATAATGGGTTAGATAATGGCAATAATGGCTATTGCCATTGCTTCATAAATTCAGTAGAATACTGCTTGATCATTTTGGCTTATTCCCTTTGTCTTTCTGAAACAGACTTGGAGAATTTCAAGACACAGAGTCGAAGTCCAGTGAGGGTTCGTGAGGGCCAAGGAGTGGTCCTACTATGTGGCCCACCACCCCACTCTGGAGGTAAGAAAGCCTTTGCGAAACACCTAATGACTGTGAAAGGACCAACTGAAAACTTGTTTAAGTGGCAAACTATTTCCATAAGTCATATGTAGGCCTACAATAAATCAATAAATAGCATGGGTATTAAATGAATGCTGGTGGGATGATGATCGGTGCTTGGCTGGCAATTATCAAATAAAAAGTATCTTGCTCTTCCATATCTCATCAATATAACCTACCCTGTCCACTTTATCAGCGAACTGTTGTCTAGAGGGCATGCGCCAAAACCAGATTGGGCAAGTATGCTATTTATCCCAAAACCATTGTTTGAAAAATGCAATGGAAACACATTGAACTCTTGCTTTTTATTCGGTACATGGAAATGTAAGTGCAAAAGTGCTTTTTATGTGCACTACGTCATCACGCACAACTTTTATCCGCAACAAGTCAGTCTGATGGAAACACAGCTCCGGTGGGAAAATGCGCAAATGCAGATTTTAGAATATTTGCGTTAAAATTTTTCGGCAATTGGATGGAAACAGCTACTGAAATACATGGGATATAATCAGAAAATAAACAATTACACACAATTTAGATAAGAAGACAGAAGTTGGGTATGGGGGATTTATTTTATCTCTAAGTCCTGGCCTGTGGAACATAGAGGAGGTGGGTGCTGCAGGTGGTTCTGCCTGTCACTTGTCCTCAACAAGCAAGTAACCAGTCACGGAAGGGGGACTTGTAGAGAGAGATTGCAAAATCCAGGCACAGCTGCTCTCTTTGCTCTTCAAGTGTTTGCAGTGCCAGTGTCTCCAGTGCATCCATGTACCTCACATATGCAGTGCCCAGGATGATGCGGCAAGCACACATTTGGATGTGCTCAAGCTGGTCTGAGAGGAATTGGGATAGTAAACTATTCCAAGCTGTGCAGGCAACTGTTGTCTTACAGTCAGAAAATACACTATCTTCTTATTTTAGTATTTACAATCTATGCACTTCTGGATCAATTAATACATTTTCTGACTGATTACAATTTACATTTGGTGTCTTGAGGTTTCTTATGGCCTATTTTAACATAATAAATGCATTCATTTTGCAATGTATTATTTATTATGGAATATTTACACAATTTAAATATCAACAGTCAAAATGTCAGACATGGCCATTCTAGTAATTATAGAATTCCGGCGCTCAGAGGGTTAATGATTAACTAGAAATGCCTCGAGAAGGCTTTGGGATTTGAGTGTGGCCAAGACCCAAGATGCTATACAGAGTTAAAGAGAAATCACGGTGGCACTCTTTTTTTTTTTTTCAGAGCCTGTGCATTAGGGTGCCTGCCTGTCTGCACTCATGTCCTCTACTGCTCTCTGAGTGTCTATCTGGATGTCTGTGTTCAGACCCAGACCTAATGCACCTGACCTCCTTTTCCTAATGGAACTAGACCTTTTAGATTTACTCAAGGATGAAATCACTTGTTCTCCTGACACAAATCAAGGTAGCTAGCAAGCTACACACATGGCTTGCAGATTTTATCCTCTATCAAATATGATATACCTGTATGAAACAATGCCATATACAGTTGTGGCCAAATATACTGGCACCCTTGCATTTATTATTGGCACCCTGGAGCTAGTACTTTTGTTACATACACAGCCTTTAGCCAAAATAAATGCCAACAAATGCTTTTTGTAGCCATCAATGAGCTTGCTGCACCTTTCTACACTTCAACAGCAAACTGCTCTAATTATTCAGTGTTTGAGGGGTGCCACCCACCAACTGCTGTTTTCAGATCTTGCCATAGGTTTTGGATATGATTTAGATCTGGACTCTTCGCTGGCCACACTAGAACAGTCCAGTGAGTCTTCTTCAACCATTTCTGGTTGCTTTTTGATGTGCGTTTGGGATCATTGTCCTGATGGAAGACCCACAACCTTCAATGGAGACCCAGTTTTTGGACACTGGGTTAATCTGCTGATTTCATGATGCCTTGCACACATGCAAGGCCCCTAATACCAGAGGCAGCAAAGCAACCCCACAGCATACTCAAACCTCCCGATGTTTGATTGTAGGGAGGGTGTTTTTTTAATTGAATGCTTAATTTGGGTTTGTGAACTGTATTGCCAAAGAGCTCTAATTTAGTTTCATTGCTCAACAGAACATTTCCCCAGGATTTAAGCTTGTTTAGGTGGGTTTTTGAGAAGTTCAATAGGCTTTCTTGTGTGTCCTTCAGCAGGGTGGTCTTCCTATGTTTACCAACGACCAAAGGAAGCATTCAAAGAAAATAACCCCTACCCTACAATCAAACATGGGGGAGGTTCAATAATGCTGTGGGGTTGCTTTGCTGGCTCTGGTACAGGGGGCCTTGAACGTGTGCAAGACATCATGAAATCACCAGATTATCAAGGTGTTTTGGTGTGCAATGTTCAACCCAGTATCCAACAACTAAGTCTCTGTTATCGAACCTCCCCCATAACCTTCAACTGAGTCTCAGTTGTTGGACACTGGGTTGAACATTGCACTCCAAAATGCCTTGATAATCTGCTGATTTCATGATGTCTTGCACACGTTCAAGGCCCCCAGTGCCAGCAAAAGCAACCATTGGTAAACATAGGAAGACCCCCCTGCTGAAGGAGACACAAGAAAGCCTGATTGAACTAAAATTAGTATGATATATTATGTTTGGTATAGTTACATACAGTGGGGAAAAAAAGTATTTTTGAGAAAAAAAAATCCAGAAAATCACATTGTAGGATTGTTAATGAATTTATTTGCAAATTATGGTGGAAAATAAGTATTTGGTCACCTACAAACAAGCAAGATTTCTGGCTCTCACAGACCTGTAACTTCTTCTTTAAGAGGCTCCTCTGTCCTCCACTCGTTACATGTATTAATGGCACCTGTTTGAACTTGTTATCAGTATAAAAGACACCTGTCCACAACCTCAAACAGTCACACTCCAAACTCCACTATGGCCAAGACCAAAGAGCTGTCAAAGGACACCAGAAACAAAATTGTAGACCTGCACCAGGCTGGGAAGACTGAATCTGCAATAGGTAAGCAGCTTGGTTTGAAGAAATCAACTGTGGGAGCAATTATTAGGAAATGGAAGACATACAAGACCACTGATAATCTCCCTCGATCTGGGGCTCCACGCAAGATCTCACCCCGTGGGGTCAAAATGATCACAAGAACGGTGAGCAAAAATCCCAGAACCACACGGGGGGACCTAGTGAATGACCTGCAGAGAGCTGGGACCAAAGTAACAAAGCCTACCATCAGTAACACACTACGCCACCAGGGACTCAAATCCTGCAGTGCCAGACGTGTCCCCCTGCTTAAGCCAGTACATGTCCAGGCCCGTCTGAAGTTTGCTAGAGTGCATTTGGATGATCCAGAAGAGGATTGGGAGAATGTCATATGGTCAGATGAAACCAAAATATAACTTTTTGGTAAAAACTCAACTCGTCGTGTTTGGAGGACAAAGAATGATGAGTTGCATCCAAAGAACACCATACCTACTGTGAAGCATGGGGGTGGAAACATCATGCTTTGGGGCTGTTTTTCTGCAAAGGGACCAGGACAACTGATCCGTGTAAAGGAAAGAATGAATGGGGCCATGTATCGTGAGATTCTGAGTGAAAACCTCCTTCCATCAGCAAGGGCATTGAATATGAAACGTGGCTGGGTCTTTCAGCATGACAATGATCCCAAACACACCGCCGGGCAACGAAGGAGTGGCTTCGTAAGAAGCATTTCAAGGTCCTGGAGTGGCCTAGCCAGTCTCCAGATCTCAACCCCATAGAAAATCTTTGGAGGGAGTTGAAAGTCCGTGTTGCCCAGTGACAGCCCCAAAACATCACTGCTCTAGATGAGATCTGCATGGAGGAATGGGCCAAAATACCAGCAACAGTGTGTGAAAACCTTGTGAAGACTTACAGAAAACGTTTGACCTGTGTCATTGCCAACAAAGGGTATATAACAAAGTATTGAGAAACTTTTGTTATTGACCAAATACTTATTTTCCACCATAATTTGCAAATAAATTCATTAAAAATCTTACAATGTGATTTTCTGGAGAGAAAAAATCTTGTTTTGTCTGTCGTAGTTGACGTGTACCTATGATGAAAATTACAGGCCTCTCATCTTTTTAAGTAGGAGAACTTGCACAATTGGTGGCTGACTAAATAGTTCGAATCTCATCATGGACAACTTTAGCATTTTAGCTAATTAGCAACTTTTCAACTACTTACAACTTTTTAGCTACTTTGCAACTACTTAGCATGTTAGCTAACCCTCCCCCTAACCCTAACCTTAACCCTTTAGCTAACCCTTCACCTAACCCTAACCTTAACCCAAATCTCTAACCCTAACCCCTAGCCTAGCTAACGTTAGCCAGCTAGCTAACATTAGCCGCCTAGCAACCTAGCTAGAATTCGTAACGTTCATACGTTTTGCAAATACTTAACATATAGTACGTTTTTAAAATTCGTAACATATTCTAAGTTTTTCAAATTTGTAACATATAATACGATTTGTAATTCGTAACATATCATACGAAATGGGTGATGGACATCCACAAATTAATACAAACCATACGAAACGTAACATATCATACTAAAAGGAGTGTCTTGGATAAAAAATAATACGAAATGCTCTGAGACCAGGTTGTGGCCAAAGGCTGTGCAACCAAGTACTAGCAGTACCTGCAGTTTAATATTTATCCATCCTCAAACCATCAAAAGGAAATTGAAGCCGCTTTTCATAATACATCAGCTAAATGGAACCACAAAGGAAACCCTGTCAATCCATGTCAGTCCATGGTGCATTATTGACTAACCACAGAAGTTCTGGAGTGACTCAGCACACTGCTCCTGCTTTAACTAGTCAATTAGTAACCTTTTAGTTCCTCTTATTCCTGTTTGTCACCCCCTCGCACGTTTGGATAATGTTGTTTCAAAAAACAAACATAAAAAATGCATAGACTTGTCAGGATGAGCACTGAATGTATTATTAATAGGTGAAGAAGATCGTACGCCTGTATCTCTGCAGCAGATGTATCAAACCTTGATGCTACAAGTCATGAATACCAAGGTGATGCTCAAAGGGGGCCCTATACTACAAATGTGTATTTATCTATTCAACATAAGCAGTGTACTGGGTACCTAGCTACATACCTACATTAAATGTGTAGGCCTACTGTAATAGTATTGGGATGCAATCATAAGCACTACATAAAAAGTTAATCAATACTAATGTGCTTATGGCAACAGTTGTAGGAACCGAATACATGGGATGTAATATAAACAATGCAATTGTTCATTGATGAATGTAAATGCAATAATTACATACTTTAACTTTGGCCATACTTACATACCACTCTCCAAATAATAGTCAAGCAATCACTAGATTGGAACTCGTCTCTGTAAATCACAGGAGGCTGCTGAGGGGAGAACGGCTCATAATAATGTCTGGAACGGAGCAAATGGAATGGCATCAAACACATGGAAATTATGTGTTTGATGTATTTGATACCATTCCACTCATTCATTTAATGAGAGCACAGCTCATTTCACAATTATTCCCAATACTACACTGCAGAGTAATCTATTAAACAGGCTTTACCAACAGGAATGATTGCTTTTGGGACAGGGAAACAACTTGGTCCAGAGCAATCTATCCTGAGGGATATACTACGACGCTAGCTAGATCTACTCAGGACTCAAAAAGCCACACACTGCAGCCCTTCAGGACCTATGAAGAACATTGACTCAGTGGAGGCTCCTCAGAGGAGGAAGGGGAGGATCAGACTACTCAGTGAATTTCATACAAATAAAAATAGTGAAACATTAAAAAAAGGATACTTTTTTAGATAAAACTATATCAAATATATTCTCATGTCACCAAATAACTGATTAAAACACAATGTTTTGCAATGACAACAGCACTCTGTCGGGTAGCACCATGGTGTAGCCAGAGAACAGCTATTTTCCGTCATCCTCTGGGTACATTGACTTCAATGCAAAACCTAGGAAGCTCATGGTTCTCAACCCCTTCCATAGACTTACACAGTAATTATGACGACTTCCGGAGGACATCCTCCAACCTATCAAAGCTCTTGCAGTGTGAACTGACATGTTGTCCATCCAATCAAAGGATCATAGAATAAATCTAGTGCTATAAGCATAAGCTACAGCTAGCTAGCACTGCAGTGCATGAAATGTGGTTGACCCAGAGAGAGAAAGACAATAGTTGAACAGTTTTGAACAAATTAATTTCTTCACAAATCATCAAGTGATAGATTTTAAACAAATTGAACACCATGCCATGATTAGATAGTGAGAAAAAAACCACATATACAGTGAGGGAAAAAAGTATTTGATCCCCTGCTGATTATGTACGTTTGCCCACTGACAAAGAAATGATCAGTCTATAATTTTAATGGTAGGTTTATTTGAACAGTGAGAGACAGAATAACAACAAAAAAATCCAGAAAAACGCATGTCAAAAATGTTATAAATTGATTTGCATTTTAATGAGGGAAATAAGTATTTGACCCCTCTGCAAAACATTACTTAGTACTTGGTGGCAAAACCCTTGTTGGCAATCACAGAGGTCAGAGGTTTCTTGTAGTTATTATTATATTATTAAGTTTCTTGTACTTAGCCACCAGGTTTGCACACATCTCAGGAGGGATTTTGTCCCACTCCTCTTTGCAGATCTTCTCCAAGTCATTAAGGTTTCGGGGCTGATGTTTGGCAACTCGAACCTTCAGCTCCCTCCACAGATTTTCTATGGGATTAAGGTCTGGAGACTGGCTAGGCCACTCCAGGACCTTAATGTTCTTCTTCTTGAGTCACTCCTTTGTTGCCTTGGCCGTGTGTTTTGGGTGATTGTCATGCTGGAATACCCATCCACGACCCATTTTCAATGCCGTGGCTGAGGGAAGGAGGTTCTCACCCAAGATTTGACAGTACATGGCCCCGTCCATCGTCTCTTTGATGCGGTGAAGTTGTCCTGTCCCCTTAGCAGAAAAACACCCCCAAAGCATAATGTTTCCACCTCCATGTTTGACGGTGGGGATGGTGTTCTTGGTGTCATAGGCAGCATTCCTCCTCCTCCAAACACGAGTTGAGTTGATGCCAAAGAGCTCGATTTTGGTCTCATCTGACCACCACTTTCACGCAGTTCTCCTCTGAATCATTCAGATGTTCATTGGCAAACTTCAGACAGGCATGTATATGTGCTTTCTTGAGCAGGGGGACCTTGCGGCCGCTGCAGGATTTCAGTCCTTCACGGCGTAGTGTGTTACCAATTGTTTTCTTGGTGACTATGGTCCCAGCTGCCTTGAGATCATTGACAAGATCCTCCTGTGTAGTTCTGGGCTGATTCCTCACCGTTCTCATGATCATTGCAACTCCACGAGGTGAGATCTTGCATGGAGCCCCAGGCCGAGGGAGATTGACAGTTATTTTGTGTTTCTTCCATTTGCGAATAATCACACCAACTGTTGTCACCTTCTCACCAAGCTGCTTGGCGAAGGTCTTGTAGCCCATTCCAGCCTTGTGTAGGTCTACAATCTTGTCCCTGACATCCTTGGAGAGCTCTTTGGTCTTGGCCATGGTGGAGAGTTTGGAATCTGATTGATTGCTTCTGTGGACAGGTGTCTTTTATACAGGTAACAAGCTGAGATTAGGAGCACTCCCTTTAAGAGTGTGCTCCTAATCTCAGCTCGTTACCAGTATAAAAGACACCTGGGAGCCAGAAATCTTTCTGATTGAGAGGGGGTCAAATACTTATTTCCCTCATTAAAATGCAAATCAATTTATAACATTTTTGACATGCGTTTTTCTGGATTTTTTTGTTGTTATTCTGTCTCTCACTGTTCAAATAAACCTACCATTAAAATTATAGAAAGATCATTTCTTTGTCAGTGGGCAAACGCACAAAGTCAGCAGGGGATCAAATACTTTTTTCACTCACTGTATATAACGTTTTGGAATATAACTCTTCATATATTTATACCTCCCCCCTCTTTCCACAGAGCTCACCTTCACCTGGATCTTTAATGAGTACCCATCCTTTGTGATGCAAGACACTCGTCGCTTCGTATCTCAAAAGACGGGTAACCTGTACATTGCCATGGTGGAGCCATCAGACGTGGGCAACTACACCTGTGTGGTGACCAACACAGTCACCAAAAGTAGCATTCAAGGCCCCCCCACCCCTTTAGTGCTACGTATCGATGGTAGGGCTCTCAACCTGTACCACTGGTGTACATTACACATTCTGTATCATTACACGATTTCCAAACAGTAACATCATCATTTTTTACATTATTGTGTTCTTCAGTGAAGAGGTTTGTAAATAAATAACATAAGCGAACAAACCACAAATACACTTTCCAATATTACAGCTCACCCACCTGAACTGGAATGCCTCATTTTGAATGATTTGTTAATTATATGTGTATTATGTGTATTACCTGTTTGTTGATACTCCTTTAGGTGTAATGGGTGAATATGAGCCAAAGATTGAAATCCAGCTTCCCGACATCATACCTGTGGCCAAGAGTTCCACTGTCAAACTGGAGTGTTTTGCACTGGGAAAGTAAGTCCTAATCTGTATCACTCTAGAATAACAGATTTAAGATCATAACGTAAACTCACTTCACAGTAGAGCTGGGTCGATAAACTGAAAATTACAGACACCGACATTGCCTTCCTCTTATCAAAACAATTTTGCTTACATCGGTTATTTTCAGTGATTAGGCTACACAACGTTCCTGCAGATTTGTTGGGTTCTAAAACCATTATTTGGTCAACGGTAGTGTTCATTAACCTGCTTCCTGCAATTTTGACATAGCCTAAAAAAATACCAGAAGGCCTATGCTAGCAATTGTTGCTTGATGCCCTATTACTGGTTAGCTTGCAAAGTAAACAGTTTATATTCTTGATCGGCAGATTTTTGGAGCTGCATATTTACTAATGGAAATCCTCTCTACAATTTGACGATTGCGCTGCACCCTGTTCAGCAATCTGCTATCTCACTTGACCTGTGTTGATTAACAGTTTTCCAAGTCATCAGTCTCAAGTCAAGTTTTGAGGCTCCAAGTGCAAGTCAAGTCTAAAGTTATTTTATTTTCTATCAAGACGAGTCTCAAGTCAACAAATTTGTGACTTGAATAATCTATGTTTTGTGACTCGAATCCACACCTCTGCCTATAGGCCTACCAATGGAATGTTTTTGTAGGACATTACATTTACTGTTAGATCAATTACATGGCTATCTAGCAAGAATATCATATTTAGAGTTAGCAATCTAGCTAATGTGTTTTTAGTTCCCACTTCCTCAGGTGATGAAGTATATAGCATATACGTAGGCTATAGTCCATAGGTTATAGAAGATCCAGGCAAATTCATCTCTAAATAGCCCAAACGAAATCTGATCATTCTGGATACTATTTTGACATGTTGCACATTAAAATATCAATCATGGATTCCCTGAACATGTTAGATGAAATAGCTAAGTTCTTTCCTGCATTACTTCTTAATGACACTGGAAAAAGTTAGTCTAGAGCACTGCCACTAATGGAAAGTAACTGTGCATAAAAAAAACATATTTATTGTTATTGAGCAAAATATCATGATATTACTTTTTTGTCCATATCACCCAGCTCTACTCCGAAGCTTGAAATGACTCCACTTGTGTTGTGGAATTGCTAGGTTTTTCTTGGTACAACTTGGTAGTACGTTGTCAAGTGGGCAGTCACGTGTGTTTGTGAGGCAGAGGACCCTGGTTCGACCCATTGTACGAACAGTGTACCCAGATGGGGAGGAAGCTATACTGCTAAGCAGACACGCTGTGGTCCATCACACTAGTCATGAAACAAAATTAACAAGATGTTAAGCCTTGAGCACACTGTGTGATATGATTTATAGAGCAGTGTTTATTTAATTGACAAGACAGCATTGGACAGGGAAGAGTTAATTTGCTGGCTGGTTTCTCCTCTCAAAGACCAGCCCCTCCTTCCTCAATTTGCTGTAATATCAGCGAATCACATTCCATATTATCCTTCCAGCCAATTAACTATTTTCAGTCCAACTGGCCGGTTAAATAAACACATTTACAAAAACAGAAACATTCACTTGAAAAGTGCTATTCAGGTTTTTACATTGCATTCTCTATTATTGTGTGTAACTAGCCCAGTTCCCACCATTAGCTGGAGAAGAGTGGATGGGGTAGCAGTTGGCCGAAAGGTGGACGTGAACAAGGCCAGCGGAGTGCTCGAGATCCCCTACTTCCAGCAGGAAGATGCAGGCCTGTATGAATGTGTTGCCGAAAACTCCAAAGGGAGGAACTCGGCTAAAGGAAAGCTCTCTTTCTACGGTGGGTAAGAGTTACTGGGGGTTTTGTGTAGAGTTGTGAAGAAAAACAACTGGGGAAAAAAACAATGGAGCCACTTCATTTGGTATACCATGATGGAGTCACAACTTAATTTCCCTTCTCTTTCAGAAACCATCTTTTCTTAAGAGGTTTTTTATGAACATTCTGGTGCAGCAAGGCTGAGTTCCCACTTTCTCAGAGATTTGTAAAATATTAGACTCATCCTATCCTCTTACCTACTACTGTTGTAGATCATGAGGTAGCAAATAGCGTCCACAATGTCATGATGTTGCACAATTGTTCCAGTCATATTACAGTATATATCTGTAAAGAATTAACTGAAAAAGTAATTAATTATCCGTATTATGTAAAATAGCTTGATGAAAAAAGTTAGCAAATAGTTTTAGGTAAAATGTCTTCTCCTGTTATATTTGTTGTGAATCTGTAACGGACATGAGTCGGTCATGGTCACGTGATGAGGTAGCCCCGCCTACGAACTTCAAAACCAGTGTCTGCCCTCGGCCCAAGAGGGAATTTCCTCTTGGTCTAATGGTCTAAGATGTTGGTTGCTCCCGTGGGAGACCCGGGTGCATATCCCGCATGTTACAAATGTTCAACACTTTTTTTCTTTACTGGCTATATAACTGCATCATATAGTGGAATGAGGTTGTAAATTAAGGTTTTATCAATATTTCATTCTTGACAAGCTGTGCCAGAGGCTAAAGAGAGGCTGTAGTGTCCTTAGAGATTTATATATCCCTTCAAGGCCAGGTGATTCTTCCGCACTCAGACTGGACTTATGGCCCATTTACTGAGAAAGCTTTTAATGGCCACTCTGAAGGTTTTACAGTATTTCTACCTATTATTTTATTGTTTATGCATTACTGAAGGATCCCCACTGTAGCGTGTGATTTTGGACGGAGTCAGGCGCAGGAGCGTAAATCACAGAATAAATGGTTTATTCGGCAATACAGCGGTAAGCAGCAATGCGTAAAACACTCCAGTGCACTGTTGAAAACAAGGCGCACGGGTGAATATCCCAGCGATACAAAATACAATATAGCTCCACCGAGCTATAGTGACCTCCACAATAAATAATCACACACAACGACATAGGGGGCAGAGGAGGGAGTAGTAACCTATTCGGAACCTTGTTTACTCTCCTCAGGACTTTGAACGGCCCCACAAACCGCAGGCTCAGCTTCCGGCAGGGCAGGCGGAGGGGCAGATTCCAGGTCAAGAGCCAGACCCGATCTCCCAGTACAAAGACCGGGGCCTCACTGCGGTGGCGGTCAGCGTTGGCCTTCTGGCGACGCACGGCGCGCTGGAGGTGGACGTGGGCAGCGTTCCACGTCTCCTCCGCACGCCGGAACCAATCATCCACAGCAGGAGCTTCGGTCTGGCTCTGATGCCACGGTGCCAGGACCGGCTGATAACCTAAAACACATTGAAATGGAGATAGGTTAGTGGAGGAGTGGCGGAGAGAGTTCTGGGCATATTCGGCCCATGGCAAGAACACCAACCACTCCCCCGGCCGGTCCTGGCAGAAGGACCGCAGGAACCTACCTATATCCTGATTCACCCATTCCACCTGCCCATTAGACTCAGGGTGAAACCCAGAGGTCAGGCTGACCGAGACCCCCAGACGTTCCATGCATGCCTTCCAGACCCTGGATGTAAACTGGGGACCCCGGTCAGACACTATGTCCTCTGGCACCCCGTAGTGCCGGAAGACAAGAGTAAACAGGGCTTCCGCAGTTTGCAAGGCCGTGGGGAGACTGGGCAGAGGAAGGAGGCGGCAGGCTTTAGAAAAGTAGTCCACAACGACCAGGATGGTGGTGTTACCCTGAGAGAGGGGAAGATCAGTGAGGAAGTCAATTGACAGGTGGGACCATGGCGATTGTGGAACTGGTAAGGGATGTAACCCACCCGCTGGAAGGTGCCTAGGTGCCTTACTCTGGGCGCACACCGAGCAGGAGGAGACATACACCCTCACATCCTTAGCCAAGGTAGGCCACCAGTACTTCCCGGTCAGGCAGCACACTGTACGGCCAATACCTGGGTGACCAGAGGAGGGGGACGTGTGTGCCCAATAGATAAGACGATTACGGACAAGAGACGGCACGTACCGCAGCCCAGCTGGGCACTGAGGTGGAGATGGCTCTGTGTGTAACGCCCGCTCTATGTCCGCGTCCACCGCCCACACTACTGGCGCCACAATGCAGGAGGCCGGAGTATGTGTTGTCTATGGGCCTCTCCTCTGTGTCGTACAGCCGTGACAGTGCGTCTGCCTTCACGTTCTTAGTACCTGGTATGTATGACAACGTGAAATCAAACCGAGTGAAGAACAAAGCCCACCTGGCCTGGCGAGGGTTCAGCCTCCTCGCTGCCCGGATGTACTCCAGGTTACAGTGGTCAGTCCAGATGAGGAAAGGGTGTTTCGCCCCCTCGAGCCAGTGCCTCCACGCGATCAGGGCTCTGACAACAGCCAACAGCCAACAGCTCTTGATCACCAACATAGTTCTGCTCCGCCGGGCTGAGCTTCTTAGAGAAGAAGGCACAGGGGCGGAGCTTGGGTGGAGCAGAACGTCTGGGGGTCTCGGTCAGGTTTTGGAAAACATGTGCGCCAAGTCAAGGTATTCGGGGGGAATGCGCACGGTGGAGGTAGTGTCTGGACTTTCCACAGTGGTTGCACCAACGGAAACAGCTAGACACCTACCCTGACACTCTCGCGACCAACCCGTGAGAACCCTCTGAGGCCATTAATAGGTGGGGTTGTGTAGTGTGAGCCAGGGAAGACCCAACACAACAGGGAAATCGGGGGAGTCAATAATAAAAAAGGTGATTTGCTCCTTATGGGTTTCCTGCATAATCATCGTGACGGGTGCTGTAACCTCCCTAACATAACCTGACCCTAATGGTCGACTGTCAAGTGCTTTGATGGGCAATGGAATGGGTAGGGGAACCAATGTGATAGATAGATTATTAGCTAATGACCTGTCCATGAAGTTCCCAGCTGCGCCTGAATCGACCAGCGCCTTACACTGGGGAACTACCGTGTAATCAGGGAAGGTGACGTGTATGGTGAAGTGCGCAGCAGAGGGCTCTGAATGAGTGTGGGTTTGCGCTACCTGGGGTGACGCGAGAGTGCCCTGCCTGCCGCCTCCAGACCCAGGAGAACTCTGACGACAGCATGCAGCAGAGTGTCCTCTCTTGCCACGAGTGAAACTGGAGCTGTCGTCCTCCGTTCTCCCGGATCGCTGCACCACCCAGCTCCATCGGAATGTAATCCAGGTTGAGGGGTGGTGAAATGGGCAGGTCCCTTCCAGGACGTCCTCTTGAAGCCAGCAGGTTGTCCAACCGGATGGCCATGTCCACGAGCTGGTTGAAAGTCGACGTGGTATCCCGGCAGGCTAGCTCCCTTCGGACGTCCTATCACAGGCTGCAACGGAAGCGGTCGATGAGGGCCCGCTCGTTCCACCCGGACCCAGCCGGTAGTTCTAAACTCCAGGGCAAAGTCCTGCGCGGTCCTCGTCCCCTGCCTCTGATGGACCAGCCACTCGCCCGCCTCTCTTCCTTCGGGAGGGTGATCGAAGACTGCCCGGAAGAGGCGAGTGAACTCCCCGTAGTTGTCCAACGCATCTCCTCCTTCACTCCAGACCGTGTTGGACCACTCCAGGGCTTTCCCAGAGAGGCAGGAGACGAGGGCGGACACCTTCTCCCGCTCCGATGGAGCTGGGCTAATGGTGGAAAAATATAGGTCCAGCTGCAGTAGAAATCCCTGGCAGCGGGCCTCTGTGCCGTCGTACTCCCTCGGTCGGGATAGGTGAATACCTCTGGGCGCTGGGGTGTGGGTAGCTGGATCCGGTCACTCAGCTGGTCCCGAAGGATCGGGTCCTCTCCTCTCCAGGCATTGGACGACATGGAGAACCCGATCCATCGTTTCGCCCAAGCTGGCTAACATGTTGGAATGCTCCCGGACCCGCTCCACAACTCCAGGCATATTCCCTGCTCCTGCTGACTTCATGCTGTCGGGTGTGTGATTCTGTAGTGGGTGATTTTGGACGGAGTCAGGCGCAGGAGGGTAAATCACAGAATACATGGTTTATTGAGCAATACAGCGGTACGCAGCAATACGTAAATCACTCCAGTGCGGTAATACGGTGCACTGGAGAAAACAAGGCACACGGGTGAATATCCCGGCGATACAAAATACAATATAGCTCCACTGAGCTATAATAACCACCACAATAAACAATCACACACAAAGACAAGGGTGCAGAGGGAATAGGTGTGTGTAATAAACAACACAAAACAAATGGAATGATTAAAATAAGGAGCGGCAGTGGCTAGAAGGCTGGTGACGACGAATGCCGAAGCCTGCCCGAACAAGGAGAGGAGGCAGCTTCGGAGGAAGTTGTGACACCCACAAGGCTTTACAGAGGGTTGGGCTATAAAATTATGAATTACCGATTTTTATTCAAAAGGTGATGTCTTTAATATGATAATACATTTCCCAGTACTTGTGGGTAGATCAAAACATGTTGTAATTTGACAAGAACCTTACATGGTCTTGATACTTTCTCCGGCTCTGAGTGGTGCATTGTGGAGGCTTGTTTGTCCTTGTAAGCTTTTCGTCTGTTCTTTCTCCCAGCTACAATGACTGGCCTCTTGCCAGGTGATAAAAATCAGTTATCTCCTTTTGAACTCCCATAGACAGGAGCTTGTGGGGCATCCATCAGCTGTATAGAGGAATAAGATAATCAATATGGGGGATCTGGACATGAAGCACAACATCCCCTGCTGCTGGCACAGGAACAATATCCCCATATCCCCAGCCTCTCTTTCAATTTCGTTCTTAATTGCCCTTCAAAGTTCCACTAAATGTATTAAATAAGATCCTGTTTCACAGGTTGGATGACATATGAATAAGCCTGCTTTTGGATAAAATGAACTTAAAAAGTAGCCTCACAGTTGTGTCTCCCTTCCATTACCTACTCTTTGGTGGTCTCATTTGTAATTCTTGGGGAGGTTATCATTTTGTATTTTCTTCATACAGTAATGCATTTTCAATTCTCCAATGGTTGGGACTTGGATTCTTCCCAGTGCATTCATCATACTGTAGGCTTTTGTAAAAGCAATACAGTTGAGGAAAGGTTGTTTAGAAATAATTATTCTTTCAAAAAGCTGCAAAACAGTTCTTCACCCTTATAGGGTTGTCAAGAAACATTCACATCAGACTATGAATTCAGCAAACCTATGTTAAAGGAGATAAGAAATACAAAGATAAATCATCAACATAAAACACCCCAAGTCCTTTTTGCAACTAAGTCCAAATCTAAGTGATTGATTGAGTGCTATTGTACGTTTTTGGACACATCTCTGAAGAGTGTAGTCTCCTCCAGAGTAGTGCTTCAAAAAGTCTCACTACAATAAGCATGTTGGACAGGTGTAAAAGTTAGAGGTATTCCTTATGCACATTACATTTTCATTTACACTTTGGTAATTTAGCAGATGCTCTTATCCAGAGTGACTTACAGTCAGTGCAATCAACTAAGGTAGGTAAGACAACCACATAGACATTGCAAGTAAAAACCTTCTTCAATAAAACTTCTACAGTATCAGAAAAATCAGTGCTAGTAAGAAAATACAAATGCAAGCGTTAAGCAAGAAAGACAAGTACAACATGACAATATGACAGCAATCATGATTCAACACAATATACTGTATATCAATCACTCAGGAGTATTTACAGAACAGTCTTCCAATAATAGATTCAACTTAGTAGTAGACATGGTGCAGTACTCTTGTCGTTGTCTGTTTTCCCAGGTTTATCCCAGCATGCTTACAGTATGTTATCTACTAAATCACACAACAGCAGCTTAGTTTACAAACTTGCTCGCATCCACACACAAACGCACAAAAACACACACCAAATAGGTGTCCTTGACCCCTGGCCAGCATACAGTATTTATGTGATGACTTAAAGGCCATGAATCTGCCCCTGTCCTTGTGGAAGATACTACCTGGTCTCAGGGCTTCGTATGATTTGGTACGTATTATTTAAACTCTCCATTTAGTATGATATGTTACTTTACATTAGGTCACATTATGAATGGAATAGCGGTCATACAATATGATATGAATTAAAGAACGTATAGTATCATACGACCAGGTTGCTTGTTGCGTCATAACAACAAAGGACAATTACAGGGAGAATTTATATTGGTGGTAAGGAGAACTATCGACAAAGGTTAGGATAATTTACGTAAAAGTTTAGGAAACTAAATCGACAAAGGTTAGAAGAATTTATGGAAAAGGTTAGGAGAATTAAGTTAAGGTTAGGAAAAGGGTTTGGAGAAGGGTTAGCTCAAATCCTATAGTTGTCACTGACACGACTCAAACACGCAACCTTTGGATTGCTAGACGGTCGCAGTGTAGGCCCACCCATCCTCTCCTACCAACCTCCCTACTTTCATTTCTGTCTAAAGTAACTAGAGTCTAGACCAGGGGTGTCAAACTCATTTTAGCTCAGGGGCCACATGGAGGAAAATCTATTCCCAAGTGGGCCGGACCGGAAAAATCATGGTATATATAACTTAAAAACAACAACTTCAGATTGTTTTCTTTGTTTTAATACGATCAACATACAACATAAAGCTGGAGCCTGAGGACAGTGTGTCCAAAATAGTACAAGCACAACATCACTATTAATCATAAAACACGTCAAGTTTATTTGAACATTCTAAAGAAAAAGAACACACAAACACACAATGCCTCAGTGATTAACAGAACTGTTTCACAGATGACAGAACTATATCAGGGTGTCATTTCTCAGGCAGAAATGTAGATACAAATAATGAAATCCTGTTCCCCAAACAAGTGCAAGAACCACAGAGTCAAGAATAGGTTAAATATACAAATAAAATAAAATCAATTAAAAACAATAGCACATCAACATAAAAACATATAAACATAAATCTGAAAGCGTTGCTCAAACTCCCGTAACAGTCCAGTTATTTTATCTTTGAACCGCTTCATGTCTGCCACATGTTGGGTCGCGCACACATTTTTCAGACAGGGGAAGTGAGCTGCATCACCACCGGCAAGTTGCGTCTCCCACAATGACAGCTTCAACTTGAAAGAACGTATGCTGTCATAATACTGCGTGACAACTTTGTTGTGCCCTTGCAGCTGTTTGTTCAAGTTATTCAGGTGCTCTGTAACATCCACCATAAATGCAAGGTCCGGCATCCATTCTGCGGAATGAAATTCTAACACTGGTTTGCCCTTTTCTTCCATGAACTGTTCAATTTCTTCTCGTAAATCAAAGAAACGCCTCAGCACAGCACCTCGGCTTAACCATCTTACCTCAGTGTGGTATGGCAGGCCATAGATGTGGTCTTTCTCTCTGAGAAGGCTGTCAAACTGACGGTGATTCAGGCTTCTGGATCGGATGAAATTAACAGTTTGGATGACCACCTTCATGACGTTATCCATCTTTAATGACTTGCAACACAAAGCCTCCTGGTGCAAAATACAGTGAAAAGTCCAAAAATCACGTCCTCCATTTGCAGATTGCACTTTCTCTCTGAACTTTGTCACAACGCCTGCTTTTTTCCCGATCATTGAGGGCGCACCATCTGTAGCCAGGCTGACAGCGCGGGACCAGTCCACTCCGACCCTGTCCAGCGCGCCGACGAGTGCGGTAAAAATATCAGCTGCTGTCGTTGTATCTGTCATCGGCACCAACTCCACGAACTCCTCGGTGACGGTCAATGTGTCATCAACTCCGCGGATGAAAAAATGGCCAGTTGTGCAACATCTGTAATGTCTGTGCTTTCATCAATTGCAACCGAAAACGCAATAAATGACTTTACTTTTTGCTTCAACTGGCTGTCCAAATCCACTGAAAGATCGGAAATCCTGTCTGCAACTGTGTTTCTTGTCAGGCTGATATTTGCAAAAGCCTGCCGCTTTTCAGGGCACACAATCTCCGCTGCCTTCATCATGCATGTTTTTACAAATTCACCCTCACTAAATGGTTTTGAAGCCACTGCGATTTCATTAGCAATGAGGTAGCTAGCTTTCACTGCAGCGTCACTGATGTCTCGGCTGTGAGTAAACACAGACTGCTGTTTCTTCAGACCCGCCAACAGTTCATTCACCTTCTCTCATCTCGCTGTCCTTGAAAGTTGTCATATTTGTCGGCATGAAGACTCACATAGTGGCGACGAAGGTTATATTCTTTCAGCACTGCAACATGCTCTGAACACACCAAACATACAGCTTTCCCATTCAATTCCGTGGTTAAATAGGATGACCATTTTTCTTGGAACACTCTGCACTCTGCGTCCACTTTTCTCTTTTTTGACAGAGACATATTGGGGCAATGAGGGTGCCAAAGCACATAATGTTAAAAGTAGAAGCCGTAATAAATATCGCGGGCAAAACAAAGTAGCTCATTGGCTGCACGTGCTTGACCTACTTGCTCTGCCCCGGTATAAACAGTTTGCTTGCTTAACACAATTGCTATTGCGCCATCCAGTGGACGCAATTGGAACAGCAGTTAATTTTATTGAAAAATTGCAGCGCATTTTTATACTTAAATTGTTCGTTTTTTTTTTTTTTTTTTTTTTTAAATCATCTCGCGGGCCGGATTAAACCCGTTTGCGGGCCTGATCCGGCCCGCGGGCCGTACGTTTGACACCCCTGGTCTAGACCATTGGTACATATCATATGTCTTGAAGGTGCACAAAAATACATATTGTATGCTTCGTATGGCTTTGAGGCCAAGCTGGAAGATAAGGCAGTAGTCATTCATATGACACAAGAACCACCATTTTAAATACTCCACCATTTTCCAATAGAAATGGATTTGGGATTTTATTTAAAACGCTGCTGCCTTAGACTCACATCCACTTCACTTAATTCACAATAATGTGTCGAGTCAATATGAACTAACCTAAGCCAATCACCAATCTATAAGCTTTTCATTCAAAATGGTTGTGACAAAAGAGCTGTATATGGGCTCTGTTATTGAACCTCTCATTGCTGCTGTTTTTGTTTTTTTGCTTCTTTTGGGGTCAGATTTGGGTTCATGGGAAGTTGATTAATGAATAGCTTGGTTGGTTGCTTTATTATAACTAATTGCCTGCTCGGTTGATTCATTGATTTATGTTCACAAACTGTAACCCATTTGCAATCGTAACCACCATCCAGAATCCCGGTAAACAATGCATAAACGTTGAGATGTTCGTTCATTGAGTGTTGTATACTGTGGACCTTGCAGCTCCCCCTCACCTGATTGAGAAGCCTCAGGATGCACAGAAGCCAATCGATGACACCCTGGTGTGGGAGTGCAAGGCCAGTGCCAAACCGAAGTCCTCGTACCGATGGCTGAAAAACGGCGAGCCTCTGGACCCGATGGAGGTGGGTGGCTTCCTGTGAGAGCTGGAGGGAGGCCAGTCTCACTTCTTTAAAAAAATTGTTTTATTGCAGTACAGGTTTTTGTGATAAACTATCGCTAGGTGATACCGCAATACCACAATGTGACCTAATTTACAAAAATATAATTAGAATGTAGTTATAGATGAGCAGCTAATTGCACCGATGGTGTGCATTATAGAGCATTTTGCATACCTCATAAGGCATTATAAATGTGCTTTTAATGCATTATGAAGAGGATATTCATAAGAGGTGTTACCCAATTACTCAAATTACTCGAACGGAAAAAGCCTATCAGACTAATTAATTGTAATTCTATTGTCCTAAGACCCTGGGACATGACCAGTGTAAATCAAAGTGTTTACTCATAAATAATGCAAAATGTTTCATCCAAATACTTGACCATATTGTTGCTTAGTGAGAAAATGCATTGCTAATATGGTAAGCAATGACATGACTGTTTATGGGTTGAAGAACATAGCATAGTCATTCTATTTGGAAGAGCTTGGAGACACAAAATAGCTGAATCTTAGCATACAATTGATAAAGGCCGACATGTCTGTGTAGCAGGGTGAGTTTGTTTTGCGAATGAGCCAAAGTGATGCAATTTTCTGCTTGTTGTCAAACACTGAGCACCGCAGTAATCTGATTTTCAATCTCTTCTATCTGCTCTTCCGAGTTTTTACCATTAAGCCACTTCTCCCCAGGGAAAGGAAACGAGAAGCCTTATCACACTGAGTAGATTTCACATTCATGCATTTGGCTTAGTTTGTTATTGTGATAGCTCCAGTGAATCACAGACACTGATAGTGGGCTCCCGAGTGGCGCAGCGGTCTAAGGCACTGCATCTCAGTGCTTGAGGCGTCACTACAGACCCCCTGGTTCGATTCCAGGCTGTATCACAACCGGCCGTGATTGGGAGTCCCATAGGGCGGCGCACAATTGGCCCAGCGTCGTCCGGGTTTGGCCGGTGTAGGCCGTCATTGTAAATAAGAATTTGTTCTTAACTGACTTGCCTAGTTTAATAAAGGTAAAAAAAATCATTAAAAAAAAGTGTTAGAATTCCGTAATGAACCTTCCACTGTGTTAAACAGGAAATGTGTTAAACACTTTTTGTATAAGTGAACAGGTGTCCATTTAGTTGATTTAAGAATCGTGGTCAGCAGTCTCAAATATGCAATCCTTGGTCAACCATGAGGGGGTCATTCGAAGGTCAAGTGTTAGTCACCACACATCCCGGACCACATAAAACACTTGTTAGTATACCAGTGTACCTCAGTGTTTATTGACTTTCAAATCACATATTCTATTCAAAATATCGGTCGGCGGAGGAAAGGTAACACACTTTTCATACATGTAGCTTTGTTAATGAGATGGGGTGTTACCATTTTCGAAATGCCACCGTCAACCGAGGCAGCATTTAATCAATTTCCCAAACTCAAAGGTCAGTGGTGTAGTGGGTGAGGGGAGGCAAGGGAAAAGTCTATACGGACACTCCTGATCTGCAAAACGGTATTTCATTTCAGTCGGTTAGAATTGGGTTAGGGTTAAGGGTTTGGTTAAGGTTAGGGTTAAGGTAAGGCTTAGTTTCAGATTTTGGGTAGTGGTTTTACAGGTCAGGAGTGTCCTTATAGCCTCTCCTGGAGGAAAGGAAGGGGAAGGTGCCATTTGTTATTCCTCATTACAATGAATCTGTCCGGCCCAGTCTCTCTTTTTGCTCCGACTGTTACTAATGTTGGCTAGACGCCAAGGGAAGTAGATGGCGTTGAGTAGGGCTGTCACTTAAAATGTCACCTCTTGAAACGAGGACCTTCTCACGCATATATTTCCCCACTCCACAGCTAGCCCTGGACAAATTAATGAGTGCATCTCGAGGTGTTCGGATTTTTACAAATGCCCTCTAAAGTCACAAACATGACTTTGGAATCGTTGCTGTTTTTTGTGTCTGCTCACCTAGCTGTGTCAGTGATGGGATCGTTAAATCCATTTCATACGACATATGGTGCTCAAATGGCCTTTCCACTACCAACGTAAAATACTGCTAAAATCAGAGAATAGTCAAGCTTAATTAATGACATCCATAAAGCAGATATATGCCTCCATTTATTGTATCTGCTAAGAGCTAGAACCTCCTCTAATTGTTCAAGTGGACAATGCTGGGCACCGAATGGCACAGTGAGGCACAACCCCTACACACACACACACACACACACACACACACACACACACACACACACACACACACACTGGTACAGACACAGAGACTCACGCTTTGTGTGCCATCCCAAGTGCTGCATGCACTGCCCCCTCTCGCAGCCTCTAACACTGAGTCAGCCACTCGCCCATCGCATGACTGAGACTCATAAGGGCCCCATTTGAAGCTCCTCAGCAGGGTCACTCACTGATGGTAAGGGACAGCCTTGTATTTTCAACAGGCAGAGCAGTAATGCTTTCAGACAACAGACAGAGTGCAGGACGGTCCCTCCGGAACTGCTCTCTCAATGACATTAAAGGACCGGCTGCACTCAATGGAGAAGATCAAGGGCAAGAACAATGAGTGTAGCCCGACTAAATTGACACAACTATAAAAGGGGAGTAGGAAGCAGTGCCAATTCTCATAAAGGTCAAAGAGAGAATAGAGGAGGAAAGAAGTGGATGTCATCCACTTTGTGTGTGTGTTTGTGCGTGCGTGCTTGTGTGTGCATGGGTGTGTGTTTGTTTGTGTACTTGCATTCACATGTGTGCGTCTTATCAACTCAATATTTTTTTTTTTGCTCCTGCATAACAAACAGTTCTTCTGAATAAGACGGTCATCCCAGATTTAGCAAGTCTATTATGTTCCTGATTAATTCCACAGGGACTGTTCATATAAAACTCTCATTTGATGAGGTTTCAGGACCATTTTTAGCAGAGGGGGTTAATCCCCTATGGGCCTATTAGCACCCCAGAAAATTAGCAGTATTTTAATTACCACCCCCCTGACGAGGAGAAAGAGTGGCTACCGCTGAAATTAGATCAGGTCTTCCAGCGGAATACACCCGTTTCCATGGAATATTATTTCAAGTGTCCACGCAAGGCCCTTATTATGTGCTCATAAACTGCTTATAGTTTGCTGTTTCATAAATCATCAGTGCCTTATTTGGCATGTTTAAGTCGTGAGGTAACACTTCATTTGGTTACACTTCAGCCCTTCGTCAAAAGGCCTCAAACAAAATGTTACCAAACCTAAAGTATACAGTATAGAGAAGCAATACATTGAAATTATACTTTTCAAGCACAGTGTGTGGGATCTTCTTTCATTTGAACACCAAACCTTAAAGTGTCAGCAAGTATTTGTATTTATTAAGGATCCCAATTAGCTGCAGCAACTTTAAGGCAGTTATATACAATTTAAAATATCACATTACATTTCATAACACTTTTCACAACACATTAAGTGTGTGCCCTCAGGCCACTATTCTACTATCACATATCTACAATACAAAATCCATATGTATGTGTGTCTGTGCCTGTGTGTGTGTCGCTTCACAGTCCCCGCTGTATTTTTATCTGTTTTTAAAATCTGATTCTACTGCTTGCATCAATTACCTGATGTGGAATAGAGTTTCCATGTAGCAATGGCTCTATGTAGTACTGTGCGCCTCCCATAGTCTGTTCTTGACTTGGGGATTGTGAAGAGACCTTTGGTGGCATGTCTTGTGGGGTATGCATGGGTGTCCGAGCATGGCTGTCCGAGCTGTGTGTTAGTATCCTGCCCTACATTGTTTTTCTCTCATTAGTTTGAACCTGTTGAATGCATCCTGCCATACTATGAGTACAATAGCTCTCTCTCTGACTTTCAGATGGAAAACCAGGTGTCTCTTTTTCAGGACAGAGTGCAAGTGAACAACGGAGTCCTGACCATCAGCAGCTTGAAGCTGGCCGATATTGGGATGTACCAGTGTGTTGCAGAGAATAAGCATGGCCGGGTCTTCACCAACACTGAACTCCGAGTTATAGGTAAGATTGAGCATGCCAATCTCATTATCATCATCGTCATCGTCGTTCAGCTGCATAACTAGCTCTCTTCTGTAGCTATGGTCACTAGCAAGGTTTGCAATATAATGGGGTTGAAGCCACTGAAGGCCATACTGCATGCTATACATGTATCCTCCCATAGTCTCAATCCTGGAGGAAACCACAGGGTCGATTAAATCCGTAACGCGGAAGATCTGTGTTGTAGTGTGGTTGACATTTAGGGCTGTATTCAACCAGTTCTGCCTTAACCTGCGATAACCAACAACTGCATAGCAGTTTGATTGTTTTTATTTAGGTGATGTCGGAGGTGTAACTGCGTTGGAGCTGTCAAATTAGCAAGTGGCTCCCGGTGTTATACCTATCGCGAACATTGGCAGGATGCGCTGAGTCGCATTAGTAATAATCCAATGCAGCCTTGTTTACAAGTTCGAACACTGGAATGTGTGTTGTAATCTATACCTCAATTAGGCTGAAACTGTAAATCCTTATTATTTTGTTGAATGATTTTCATTTTGAGTGTCAGTATTTCTATATCAAAATCAAATCAAATCAAATGTTATTTGTCACATGCGCCGAATACAACAGGTGTAGACCTTACAGTGAAATGCTTATTTACAACAATGCAATTTTAAGAAAGAATACCAAAGTTTTCTTTCTTACAAAAGTTTTCTTTCTGTTTATTTTTAATTCACAATCTGTAGAAGCAATGAGAATAGAAAGGTTCAGAACTTTTGTAAAACATCACAGTATGGTTGAAATATATATGGCAAATAGAAATCCTATATGGATGGTGTTAAGAGATAGATGGGAGGTATTGAATAGAGTTGAAGGATGGGACTAATAACAAATAACAACAAATAATAACAAAGATAGCTAATAATGTAAGCATACTGTGTCCATAATAAGTATATAGGTTGTATGTTGGGAGCTTTTGGGAAAGAGCACAGTTAGAAAGATATGGCATTTAGAAGCAAACCGGATGGACATCATGAAAATGATCGGAGAGGTTGAGAGTAGAAGAAGTTCAGGAGCAAAAAAATAAATAGATATGTATGTGTATGTATGTATATATATATATATATATGTATATATATATGTATGTATATATATATATATATGTATGTGTGTGTGTATGTGTATGTATGTATATATATATATATATATATAGATATAGAATTATTGTAAAATTAACTCTGTCCATAAGGTGTAGATAGTAAGTATAGACCGGAAGTAGAGGCCTGGGCGTTGTTGTTCACTAATTTACTCCAAGTAGGGAAAGGATGGTGGGGTTGAAAAGTAATAAAGGGGAATATATATATATAAAAAATAAAAAAAACATGGGGGATTGGAAGTGATGCAGACAATTACATTGATAGAAGATACAATCTATCTGCAATATTAAGCTGATCCATCCCCCCGAAAAAAAAAAAAAAAAAAAAAAAAAAAAAAAAGAATACCAAAGAAAATACCAAAAAAACATTAAATAAAAAGATAATAAAAAATAAAAGTTACAAATAATTAAAGAGCTGCAGTAAAATAACAACAGCGAGGCTATATACAGGGGTCTTATGGCTTTGGGTTAGAAGCTGTTTATAAGTATTTTGGACCTAGACTTGGCGCTCCGGTACCGCTTGCCGTGCGGTAGCAGAGAGAACAGTCTATGACTAGGGTGGCTGGAGTCTTTGACCATTTTTAGGGCCTTCCTCTGACACCGCCTGGTATAAAGGTCCTGGATGGCAGGAAGCTTGGCCCCAGTGATGTACTGGGCCGTACGCACTACCCTCTGTAGTGCCTTGCGGTCGGAGGCCGAGCAGTTGCCATACCAGGCAGTGAGGCAACCAGTCAGGATGCTCTCGATGGTGCATCTGTAGAACCTTTTGAAGATCTGAGGACCCATGCCAAATCTTTTCAGTCTCCTTAGGGGGAATAGGTTTTGTCGTGCCCTCTTCACGACTGTCTTGGTGTGCTTGGACCATATTAGTTTGTTGGTGATGTGGACACCAAGGAACCTGAAGCTCTCAACATACTCCACTCCAGCCCGTTGATGAGAATGGGGGCGTGCTCGGTCTTCTTCTTTTTCCTGTAGTCCACAATCATCTCCTTTGTCTTGATCACGTTCAGAACATCTAACACGGGTGGGATTAAAGGACGGGTGTGGTTACGTGACAATGACGACAAGAGCAGCCGCTCACCAATTCGACCACTCCAACGTAGTTACTATACACTTCCGACTTTGCCTAAACAAAAACAATGAAACTGCTACGCAGTTGTTGGTTATAGCAGGTTAGAGCTGGAACTGATTGAATCTAGGCCTTAAAGGTCATTTCCGATTCAGCCGACATATGCAGCATTTACCGTGAATGCAATCTCTGCAAACGCGGTAATGTTGCCTTTAAATGTAAATCGCGCTACAATGCAGATCTTCCGTGCTATGGATTGAATCGAGCCCCAAGTCTTTTAAGGCAGCCTTTCTTCAAGTATGGGTCGTGACCGAAAGTGGCTCGCGGACATGTTAATGGTGGTGGGTCACGACATGTCAGAGTTTTCGGCACTCCGTCAAGATCTCAGCTTACTGTTTGTTGAGAGTTAAAATAATAGAATACACAAGATGCAATTACTAAATTTTGTCTTGTTATGTCAGTCACTGATAGTCACTCAATTAGCCAATATTTTGATTGGTAAGTTAGTATAGCCAGCTATCTAGTAATAATGGCCGAATACCGACCAGGCACGCAGGGCACGTGCCCCTGACCTCCAGGGGGCCCCTATTGATTTTGTTAGTCACTGACAGTCACTCTCACTCAGATATCATATTAACATGGCATAAGTCATGGCAAAATGTGTAGAATTGCAGGAAATTAGCTTTAAAACTGCAAAGATTTCTCTCCACCCGATGGCAAAATGGGTATAATTGCATGATTCTTTAAAATAAAATTGTTACATTTTCTCTCCGTCCCATCGCAAAATGTGTAGAATTGCAGGAAATTTACTTTTTAAAATTATTATTCTCTCCGCCATCAAGAGGGGGGCCACTAAAATGTTTTGCCCGTGAGGTGGGGCGACCCCCAACCAAATTTCACTTAGAGCCCCCAAAAGGTGGCATGTTTTCATGAGCTTGGGTCCCAGGCAAAGACTGAATTTCTCATTTGGATGCCAGGCTTAAGAAGTATCAGAACCCCTGTTTTAAGGCATGACACCGAAATGACCAGGGCAAATGTAATAACAATATATGTTGTTCTGTAGATATTAACCCTTTACACCCGTACCCATATACAGGTTGAAAATAGCAGATTTGGGCAAGCCTAAATTGAAACGCAGTGGCTGTACAGTAACATGCAATAAATGACGTCAGAGCTCAGGCTCTGCACTTCACAGTGCTGTATGGGTTTTGACTGACAGCTGTTCTGAACTTGAGCACCGGACGTGACAAGAAGTTGCCCCCATCCCTCCCGCTAATTGGGCAAATGTTTTGTTGACTGAGTGAGGGAAATTCTGTAAATTAAGAGGACTATGTATTTTGAAAGATGAGACATTGAGGACCTACCCCACATTTTCCAGGAATATTCTTATCATGTTACTGAATGTATCCAGAGTATTTTCAGATTTCGTTATCAACAAATGCGGCAAAAAGTACAGTAAATGTAAAATGCACAGTGTAATGTTTGGATTCAGTCTTGTGTCAGGTAAACTATTGTGTCCTCACCTTTGGTCTAATAATTTTCCCATAATCTCCAAACTGTTCCATTTCAATTACTACCATGCTTATGTATATGCTTTTCATATTTCTTCTGTAAGAAACATTTCAATTTAGCCCTATGCATATAGGCGAAGGGTTAAAGGGAGGAAGTGACATTGTATCTTTCTTTTTTTTTTCTTACACAAGGTGGCAGGAAATAATTGCAAGCCGCATTGCACAGGTTCTCAGCGCTGTCATCGTCGCTCGACAGCGTGTTGGCTTTGAAGGGCGCTCTGCTGAGTCGATATGCATACAAAACAGATCCAGATGTCGGAGTGTTAGTAATTAAAGCCTAAAGGAGCGGCTACAAAGCCTCTGCTCGTTTTACATCTTTTCTTTTTTGTCAAAGCCCCACGGCTGAATGCTTGATGTATTACACCCCATCAAAGAAAAATGCCAGGCTTTCTAAAACTGTGAAGTATCTTTCTTAAATGAATGTATTTTTAAAGACGTCCGCTCCAAATGTGAGTGTGTGCGTGTGTGTGTGTGTGGTGTCTATGGAGGACGTGTGGTTAGCTGACCTACCTAATAGATAAGGTGACCTACATGTTCTGAGGGATGCGCTCTCTCGATTTCTCTCTCTTCTTTCAATCTCTCTATTTTAGTCAATTGAGATCTGTCTCCGTCTCTTAATCTCTCTCTCGTAGCTGTAGCCCCAGATTTCTCCCAGAACATGCTGAAGCCCCAGACCCTGGCCAGGCAGGGGGGTGACGTTCTGATTGAGTGCAGGCCTAAGATGTCTCCACATGGGATGATCTCCTGGAGGAAGGGGAAAGAAGCACTCCGAGAGAGCCACAGGTATGGTGGAAAGCTGGGACAGGATTGAGAAGGGGCATTCACAAACCTGGATTCAAATTGTACTTAATACAAATACTTTTTAGCATTTACTTCAGCCTGTCTGGAGTGCCAGATGGGTATTGTTTGCGATTTTGGGACTATTTCATTGGATCCATCGCACTAAGCAGAATCAGTCAAGCACGCTAAAGTATTTGAAAGGTTTAAAATACTATTTGAACCCAGGTCTGATGCCCATACTTTCTGAGAAATGCAGTTGTTGACACTGTCATTATTTTACAGGATGCTTTGTATCAGTTCAGTGTTTTTCATACCAGTGACTGGCAAACTATGGTCCCTCATCTTGTGTCAGGGCTAGCTATGATTTTTCCTCCTTGAGGGACCACTTGCAAAACAACTACCAATGTAGCGGTTACTAAATTAGTGTCAGTTAACCATCTGGGACCAGGGACTGGTAAGCAACATCCCACAGACCGACACAGGCCCACGGACTGGAGATTGAGAAACACTGCCGTAGTAGTTCTTAGGGATGCATACAAACACTTCTAAGTACAAAGCCATTTGGTGCCACACAGTTACCAATGTTGAATTACTTTTGATGAGTTAACATGAGATTAGAGTCCTGTAGAATTACTGATATATTTTCTAATCTTCTTTCATTTCCCCTTCTCCGCTACTCTACTACGCTGTCTTGGGCTTTGTGTGGAACTGATTTCCTAGTGTTTACTTAAGGTAATTGGGACTTTCTAGTCTTTGGCACACAAATCGATCCATTGATCCATCAGCTCATTACCACTGGGTTGGTCAAGTGAGAGGATTGTTAGAGCTGAATGTATGAGCCAGGAATTGAGACACCAGGGTAGTGGATGAAATCTCAAGCAGCGATGATCAATCATCGGTGGATTTACAACTTTAGCTAGACATCCCCTTTGTGGTATAATGGCACTGGGTGAACTGGCTAACAACCTAATTCCATTACTGTAGATCTGGGTGTAATACCTCTGGCACTACAGGTAGAGCAACAATGGAAAAGGCTGGAAAAGCTCTCTTTCTCTACACCACAGTGCCATTGGTCAAAGTAATGTTGTATGAATTGTGCAAAAACTATCAGAATCACAGGTTTTATAAATTCACTGTAGTGGTGATGTCTTAGTTTTTATTGATCTTTGGCCTTTTTCATTGATAGGCGCTATAAATGTGGCATGGTTCAGCATGGTCATGCAAAGAACGGCTCATAATAATGTCCGGAACGGCGCTAATGGAATGGCATCAAACGCCTGGGAACAATGTGTTTGATGTATTTGATACCATTCCACTGATTCCGCTCCAGTCATTACCACAAGCCCATTCTCCCCAATTTAGGTGCCACCAACCTCCTGTGATTCACACGTGCACCCACATGCACGCACGCACCGTAATTCAGGTAGTACAACATTGGCCTTGGGCAGAGTTCCTACAATACATTAAATATGGCCACTAATTATGTGTGCGCTAGTCTCATATTAGCTGCTATAACTCAGACAGCCTAGATAAGGCTCTATTTACTGGTTTTACTGTAGAGATAGTGACCCAACGGGATGACAACGGAATACTGTTCACCTTACATATTTGACTGTTCATTCAGATACACCGATTAGAATAGAGAGTGACAGGGACAGGCGAAAGAGGAATGAACTGTCAGAAGAGGTTTATCTGGGAATCAAATCCCCAGGGGCCATGTGTGGTCCAGAGGTGGCACTGACCTCCGGCATGAGATGAGAGAACATTGAAAATAATCACACAGTAGCAATCTAACCTTCCCTAGCAGTATATAAATAATTCTATCCACCACACATAATTATCTAAGTCTGCTATAGATTTACTTCAATGTAGCCTGGTAGCAGATCAGTTTGTTCAGTAGCCAGCTCCTCTGTCATGCTCGTTGTCATACCAAGAAAATAAGGTATGGCACAACAACAAATACAGAGGATTTGGCAACAGCACATAATCCATTTTTTACAAGGCTGATGTCAACGTTACCTTGTGCTATGTTATTCACCTCTGGTTGACCTACTGTATAGCTTTAATTGTTGTAACCAATACTCATACATTTTCCATATTGCTTGTAGTTTTGCTTTTTAGGCACTTTGTTATTTTTTCTGTTATGAAAACCGCTATAGAAATTACACAAATTATTGCTATTGTTATTATTATCTTCACTGCAATAGCATCTTCATTTGCAAAGAGGAACGCCGAACGGGAGACATTACAACATGGGCACATCTGCCGGTGCATGTGAAGAATCAGTGGGGGTCTGCATTTCTTATTTGATCTGGGATTAATTGTATTAACTGCCTCAGCAGCTTTTGTGCTGCATCTCCTGGATATCCATCCGCAGGCCTGGAAGTCTCACCTCCCTCTGCCAACATTATTGGGAAGGACCAGAGGTGATGTACCAGGTGGAGCCAGGCTGCTTTGAAGAAATAGCAGGGTTGATACATCTCGCTCAGGAACAAGAAAGAGGTGCTATTGTTTGAACTGGCTTCTAGCAGTAATATCATTCCAAAGATTGAGTGTGAGGTGTGTCAAAATTCCACTCGTATTTTGCTATGGTAATGCTTCAGTAATGCTCCTAAAAATGAATTTGGACAATATTTATTTATTTCTGTACAGATATATTCCTGGTGTGAACAATTTTAATCTGCTCAGGGATCAAATCAACTACACCTAAGAAATATTTGATTCAAAAAGGAAATATCCTAGAGTAGAGATGTGTATAGAAAAAGTTGTTGGCTAGGGTTATAGCTGCATCTTTCACAAACCAATTTCCCCTGTTTGTCTCTTAAGGATTCTTCACCTCTTTATCCAGATAGGACTGCACCACTGCTACTACAGGAGTGCAACACTACTAATCTATCTCACTGTCCTAACACTGATACTTATTTATAATCTTCATGGTATTATTATGTGTTGATGCTCTGGGCCAGAGGAGAGCAAACGTACCAAGAACAAGTTGGGGTGGTGATTGTTTAATCAAGTCATGCAGCGGTGGCACTGAGCATCGCATGCACGTCTTAAACAGGATTTGTGTGTGTACTTATGCTGGGGCTATGACATTAACCGCAATGGCTTACAAGTAATTCAATTTCAATGCTGACCAAATGGAAAGGACAAAACTCACAAAATAGCTTTATAAAATTGGAATTTGGAATTAGACCTCTACAGTATGTTATATTAAACAGCACACGTTGTTGCTTGAAAAAATATATAATCCATCTGTAAGCCTCTCAACCAAACAGACTGCAATACGTTCCTAAAGAGTCTCTAAAACTGAGGAAGAGAGTGTAATGTTTGTATCGCAATGAGGAGATGAAAACTCTACAATTTGATGTTTCGTACATACCCCATATCAGCACAACAAAAGTCTTGTAGAAAGACTACAATTAATGGTTTTCTCTTTCCAATGCTTTTTGAGGTTTGTGTATTCACATTATTTAATTATTAGATTTATTTCATGTAGCTGATAGCCATGGCCTACATAGTGCTCTGGAGTGTGGTATGCCCTGGAGTTTCTGCCAATTATGTATACAAACCCTGGGATGGCTGATGCTATGTATTTGCCAATGAGAGGCTTTGAAGCCACCTCCGCCATATTGGTGGTATTCAGAAGGAGCAGTCCTCCATAGGAATGAATGGAATTCTACAGTATTTCAATTAAATGTTTGAATACAAAATTTGATGTATTTAAGTATTTCTTTGTTGTAGTGGGGACAGTAACATTAGTACGCTCAAGAAATTATACTTTAAGGGGCATAGTGTTTTTTATTTTATTTTTTATGTTCAGTTCACATAATACATTTAAAAGTATGCATTAAGGTGTGTGTAATAGAATATACTTGGCAAAAACTAATTTCTATAGCTTCCAATATAAAAACATTTAAATGGTGGAGGAGTACAAAAATGGCTGCGCAGTGGCTTCAAAACAGTGCACCCCTGGCAGTCATCTAGGGTATATATACATAATTGGTTGTTACCCACTTTAACGTGTTTCCCCAAGTCAATTGAATAATTCCCCTTGGTTTGTTCTGAGAATGACTGCTTGCTGCTTACATCCTTGGAATTGATACATACTGCCCTTAACTCTTCAAGCCAGGGTCTGTATCTTTATCACCATCCAATAACAGAGAGAAAAAATTGTATTTGTCCCTAAACTGTGATTTTTGTCCGAATTTCACAACGGCCCCCATACACCTTAATTATAACACAGTATTCCGTTGTCATACACCGTAAATGTAAATATGGGCTGCATCTTTATATTCTATTCCCGCTTTGAAAGATAAGGAGGAAGTCTGTGCAGTGAAATCTCATATCCATAACTCTTTATTATGGTCCATTTCATTGGAAGCCCTCTGATAAAGTTAGAAGAAATGCTTCCCTCTCCCGGGGGCCTAGTTATAGAAATGGACTAATGCCATGTGATTCTGGTGAGCTTAGCAGGTCATATTTGGTTGTTTGGGAAGAGATAGCTATCCTGTATGCTAAGGGGTATCTTTTAGGGAGCCGTAATGTAGCTTCATTTCCTTTTAAAGCTTTTTTAATGTGCATAGGGCATTGGTTAGCCTCATCACACCCTCTTGAGCAGTTTTGATGATGAGAGAGCCGCTTAGAGCAGGGATGTGCAGGGATCTGCATTTTTACGACTTACTTATTGATTAATAGCGGACGGTATTATCAGAATATGAAAATAACGCCAGTGCTAGTTCAGATGGTTGGGTCGGAATCTATCACTTAATTCAACTCAGCAACTTGCTTATGTTCACATGGCAACCATGATGTGCTATGAATATACTTGATATACTATATATTTAGTGTTTACACAGGAAATCTTCTGCAATTTACACATTATAGATCACACGTCATCTGCCTTGCCATTTAGTTATTTGTATCAATCATTTTTATTCTGCATTAAGTTATTGGTTAATTTCTTTAATCATCAGTATGGTTACTATCTAAGATGAGTTCAATTAGTTTTAAACAAACTACAACTTCATAAGCCTTTCATTACATATCACTCTGACCAACAGATGTGTGGCTTTAGATCGGTGGCACCAGTGTTTATACAAAAGCTTTAAACGTAGTGATATGACAGTGCTACAAGCAGATATTGCAGATGAGGACGTTTCAAGCTCTTGCACTCACACAGAAAAAAGATGTGCATGTGCACGTGTGTGCGTCACGCAACATGTTAGCTGCTGGACCAAAACAGCAGAGACTTTTGGCCTCGCGATTCACATTCTTAGTTATTGCGTGAGTCGGCCCGATATTGCTGTTTACTTGGTGCATGGCTGACTCTACCTTTAACTATGGGCTGTTGTCATGGTACCTGATGGTCAAGGGCAGGGGTGCACAGCTCCAGTCTGAGCCACAGCAGCAGTACCACTGGTTCTCTTTTCTTAATTGATCAATAAAACATCTCACTGTTCTGACTACTAGACAGAGTCCACACAATATCAGACAGAGTCCACACAACTGGTCTATTGAAATCGATTATTCAATGACAAGGCTGATATAACCAGCAGAAACTGCAGCCGTTGAGGTCTGGATCTGTGAAGAGAACAGAATGGTTTCACTCCTCACTGAAGATTTAGAACAATGTTTAAAATAATAGTTTCAATGCAGGTGAAATAGTCACAATGGTCACAAATGGTACTTCTTTTTTATTTATTTTTACCCACTCCTCAATAATAGCATTCTCAAACCTTCAGAAACAGGCCTTAGGTAGATGACAGTTTCTGTGGCAAGATATTGACATTCATTATTTGTATTCATTTCTAGAGTCTCAGTGTTGGACAATGGAAGTCTTCGAATAGCAAACGTTACCAAAATGGATGCCGGCCTCTACACCTGTGTGGCAAGGAACCAGTTTGGAGTGGCAAGCAGTGCTGGGAGTCTTTTGGTTAAAGGTATCTCTACTTCCACTCCTTGAGTTGGCTCTCCATTTCTCTAATCCTTGCATTAAGATGTACATTTTTTCAAAATACTGACTGGATGCTTGCAGCAGCAGATTGTACTGTAGGCTTCACGAGTAGGTTTGGTTGGTTGTTATTAGTTGAGAGTAGGACCCTTAGAGTTTTTAATTCGGCTAATATAATGACCCTGCACTATTGGAGAAGAGGAGGTATTTTGGAATAGGACAAAATTAATTGTATGACTTTTTACATCTCCAGAGCATGAAGAAAGGGACCAATGTTTTCCTTGGCAATAGAAGTTAACTATCTGCACTATCCATGAACAAGTGTCTCATTACAGGAACCAGACTACAGATCCATGTATGGATGGACGGTACAATAACAGCTAGTTTCCATGTACCACACAAACATACAATTAGTTGATTGGGCAGGGTCAGACTTAGCATTGGATTTAAGATTAATTGCATTGCTATGCCTTAATGTTTAATTCATATATTCCTGGGGTAGCTAATAGCCATGCTCTGTTTGTTTAAGAGTTCAATCCATTTAAATCACCCACTTCTGCAAGGCAATGGATTTCCAAGCCCTTCTAAAGAGCAGAGTCAACAACAGTGCTCTATTAAAATGCCTTTCGGTGATTCCTAACAAATTATCAATTGCAAATTGTTTGGTATAGAAACTGCTTTCATTTCCTTTTTTTCAGCCCTTTTGCCTGTAAGAATGTCAGTATCTTACAAACTGTATATCTATATTTTATAGGTGATTTTTGTAGATTATATTCATGAAATACAGCCAGCCCCCTTTGAAAGAAATCAATATCAGCCACATTCAGTACAATTATTCAGTACCATTCTTAAAGGGAAAATTCACAAAAAAACAATATTTTGGTATTTTTTTCCTTAGTCCACTGTTGATACAGTCGCAAATGTTTTGTATGTCAGCAGTCAAGATTTCAAGATATTGGATTTCAAGAAGCAAAGTTTCACCGGCCACATCATCATGATGTGGTCCTCTGTAGCTCAACTGGTAGAGCACGGCGCTTGTAACGCCAAGGTAGTGGGTTCGATCCCCGGGACCACCCATACACAAAAATGTATGCACGCATGACTGTAAGTCACTTTGGATAAAAGCGTCTGCTAAATGGCATATTATTATTATTATTATGCAAAATGTAAAATATCGTTTTTGAGTGGATTTTCCCTTTAATAGTACATTCACATTCAGGGCTTGAGATATGGGCATGTAACCATATCTCCATATTTGTCCTTAACTCAAACTGAATTGCAGATACACAATTTCACATCAATGCATGCCTCACATTAAAGTTTAAGTTACGTAAGTTACGTGTGTGTTTCTCAAGTTCGGATCCTGCTCTCAGCAGAGTGAGTGATCTGTCAGCATGGTGCCATACAAGAATCAAACTGTTAATTTTACCATTGCTAGCACCATGCTACAATCAACTACTCATTTAATCTAAAATAAGTGTCTGGCTGTTATGATAGCAATGAAAGCTACAACAAATGTCACAGACTGTTATCTTGTGGAGAGACATACCCAGCAGGAATGTGCACAGATAGGGCCCAAGTGGTGCTCGAGAACCTGCCCTTTTGCCCTATGAGGAAAATGTTTTTATTTTATTCCCTTTTTTTGTGTAACTGTAAATGTAACGAATTGCCCATAAAACTAGCTAATCTCACAAATTCCCCCCCCCCCCCCCGCCCCCCTGTCGCCAGGGGACAAATCAACTGTTTTTTTTTAAAGCCTGATGTCACCAATGAAAGAAACTAAAATCAAGAAAGACTAGTTAAATTGTTTAAACAGTATAACTATAACTAGCTAGCTAACTAGATAGCTGATTTAGATAATCTTCTAGCTACATTTGCTATGATCAGATACAGGCGCAGTAGAGGATTATGATTGTAGTCAATTAATTGAAGTTAAAGTTTTTATTTTATTTGACCCCCAAATGGTCTGTGCACAGCCCTGATATCCTGTATAATTATCCTGGATTGATAGTGGTTCGTCTATACCATGTTAGCAACAAGAAATCAATGAGATGACAATGAAGAGGGAAACCATGATACCCTTTTCATTGTCAAGTAAAATAATGCACTAGCAAAATTGTAGCTGGATGACATTGAAACTGATCCATCTGCCATGCTCTAACACGCATGTCAAAATGTGTTCAAAGGATTCCATCATTTCAGAACTCAATAGGTAGCAGTTGTAAATCTTAGTTCTCATTTAGATAATAGCTTATTTGAAGGGTACCTACATAAGAACTTCATAACACATTCATAACCCATAACACATTCATAAGCAGTACATAAGCATTTCTTAAATTATTATTTCAAGAGCCGCATGTTCATAATTGCAGTGTAAATGATAGTACTGTGACATAACAAAAATATCAACTTGCGCTTGTTGACATAAGCACTGCTTATCAATGCAGCATGTAGGGATTATGAATGTGTTATGAAGTCTCCTCATTTTTTTTGTCTTGAGACATCCATTCATAGGGCATGCATTCATAGGGCTCACCTGGAATGCACCGTAGGGGGTGTGAGATAACCCACTGGGCTGTTTTGACAGCGCAACGTATAGAGACCTTAAACACCATCTGACATGCAGTGTCTGATTCTCTGTCCATTAGCTTATGACACGCATGCATAATTCAGCTGGGGCTTGCTGTATGGAAACTCAGCCCTGCGTATCTCACTGCACCGCCAAAGTGGAAAAGACACCCAAAAGAGCCAGAGCAAAGATTAGGTTGATATGCAGCACACCACCATGCTGTGGTTGAAATAGGATGGCTTTTCGTCTGGCCAAAATGGAACCAAATTATAGACTCCGGACTGACCTGTGGAAATGGAGGCGTGCAGAGGAGTGGGTTTGTGTGGTTTCGCAGTTTCTTCAGTGATGCATTACTTTGTATAAGTGACTTGTGGTTATAGTTTCAGTGACAGCTAAAGCCACTTACACTGTTCATTCTCATTCAGTGTATGAGAAAGGATGACAATATGAGCCAACGCCTGAACAGGAGATTTCCATAGCTGTCTAGACAGGCGCTCTCCATTCATTGACCATTACAGCCACCAGTTTAGATGATTTTTTCCCATTTTCTTTATGTAAAGAAGCTGTTACTGGGCTCTACTACTTACGATTTCTTTGTGATATTTCAGCTAAATCAAATCTACAAATTAAATTAAATAAATCGTTTTATATTCCAAGATGTGTGTTTAACACAATCAACTAATATTGTTTTACTATGGTATTTATTTTTGGTTGATAACAATACAGTATGCCTAGGCTAGAGGTTGCGCCCGACGGCACATTCTCTAGCGGGTACTTGTATACTGAGAAGCCAAGCGGTCCTAGTGTTAATGACTGCTTCCACTTCAGTCAAGAACGTTTGGCGTTCACATGGGCTCCTAGAGCCCTTATTAGACAGGTCCATGATGAAAATTAATAATCAGATAGCTATATGGGCATCTGTTACAAGCTGGCAATCACAAGCAACCCTGCTGTAGGCTATCAAATAACTGTCAATGCATAATCATATCCGTGACCATTACAGCCATCATTACACGGTCTGAAAGCACAATAGAAGCACAACTGGCGTAACAATTAATTTAACAAAATAAAAATTACGTTGTTTGGACAAGATAATAAGTAATCTAAACAAGATAATTAGTTGATTAAACTACTTAAGGTGAGTCGTTTGGACAAGATACTAAGTCATTTGGTCGAAATACCAAGTCATTTGGACAAGATACTAAGTTGTTTGGATGAAATACTAAGTGGTTTGGATGAGAGGTCACACTTTATTTGGATAGTCCATCTGTAGATGCTCTACAGATGGTCATACTATTTGTTGATAAGCAACTACTTGCTAAGGTTAGGTTTAGAATAAGGGTTAGGGTTAAGTTTAGGGTTAGGATAAGGGTTAAGGTTAGGGTTAAGACTAGGGTTAGGGTTAGTAGACAGTTAGTTAAAATGTTACTGATAGTCTGTAGAGCATCTACAGATGGACAATCCAAATAAAGTGTTACCGGATCAGAGAATGCCGCAAGTCATAAAATAAAAATGTTTTGCTTAGGCCTTCCTTACTAGACTGATTTACATCATTCATTTTACAGGAACAAAGCACAATAATCACAATCTCAGACATGACTGAGGTGTAACAGTCCCTGTGTTAATAAGACAGCAGAATAGCCCCATGCCTCCAAAGAAACACCTGTAGAATGGACTCAAACTAAACCTAATAGTGCTATAAAACATGTATATACATTTTGTCAATGTAAATAGGCAGAACAAAGTAGATAGTGACAAGAGAAGCTCCCCGCTGATTCTGTCTTGCCCAGGTAGCTGAACTTGTTTTTGTCTCTTGCAGAGACAACTGTTATCACCAGCCCAGCTGGGCATTTGGACGTGACGGTGGGCGAGAGCATCGTCCTCCCCTGCCAAGTCTCCCATGACCACACGCTCGATTTGAAATTCACCTGGTTCTTCAACGAACAGCTCATCCACTTTGGAAACCACGGGGGCTACTTTGAGAAAGTTGGCGGAGTAAGTGCTTTCGAGTCTGCCTTACACTCATGTGCTTGAATTAAGTCTACTATGATGACCTTTTATAATTACTTGACTTATTTATGTGGTTGTCACTTGTGATTTGCAATCCAATTACATACAGTTGATCATATTAATTTATTTTTACTGTGTATGTTCATAAATGATGTAAATCTATCAAGGGCAGAATATATATTTTTACCAGCATTATGTTATGAGCACAATAACATATACAGTACAACAATGAATACTTTACTGCTGATATATAGTGAATGGACTAGAGGAAGTGTATTGAATGATTTTCATTAATGAATCATATCAAATTAGTTTTTGCAATTAACAAGAGCGGTCTGCCTGTTTGCCTGTTCTGCTTGTTGATAACAACTACTCCTTTGAAAAAACTGGTGCCTAAGAAATTGTCGATTCAATGCTCAAACATTACATTTGG